GACAACTGATAATTGTTTTTCAGTTTGGAATTGGTAGGTATGATATTTAATTTCAGATTCGTTGAAACTTTTTGTAATCGATCTGTAATCTTCGATTGAGCTTAGGTTTAATTTTAATGAATTTTTTGTATGTGTGACTGAGAATTCGTCAAAAGTTTGATTAGATAAAGAAGTATGAAATGTTTCGAAATTTGAAATATCGTAGACGTAAATTGGCGGTATTTTGGGATTAACCTGTGCGTCCTGTGCGTTGTCGTTTGTGGAAACGCCGTCTTGGTCAAGTTCGTCGTCGATGTTTTGAAGCGGAGTAAATTTGTTTTTGCTTTGAAAGGGTGGAGTAAGTGGAGCTGCGTTTGTTCTCTTTCTTGGGGCGTGTTGTAGAATGCGGGTTTGGGGAGACCCGCGACCCCTATTTGAAGGCATGTTAAAACGGTTACGAAGTATATATGTTACGGTAAACAGAGCACGGAGGACAACCTGCTACGACGGCTACTGATAACCAACTGATAAATTATTAAAATTAATGAAATGTTAAGAACTAATAAAAACAGAAAAATGTTTTAATGTTTTAATTTAATGTTTAATTTTTAATGTTTTAATTCATAATTTTAATAATGACGAAATATAATAATTTACTATAAATAAAATGTATAAAAAAAAATTTCATTTATTTTTTAAATTAATTTTGCCCCCCCCCCTCCTTAGAAAAATGTTTGGGGACACTCATGATTTCAAGAAAATATAATATCAAAAAAAAAAAAATATATATATATATATATATATATATAGTTTTACAAAAAAAAAAATAAGCTCCTTAAATAATTTTAAAATTAAAGAAAAGTTATTATTTAATAAATAATACAGTACAAATAATCAGTAGTTAATTTGTTATTATTTATATTTTATATTAATTTATACCTACATATTATATCTTTTATTATTTTGTTAAAAGTGTCTACCTACTATTTTTAATACATTGAACTGTAATCTTATAGTTAATATAAAACGATTAATATTATATATTTAAAATATTAATAGAAAAAAGAAAAATGATTAATTATGAACTTAGTGAAGAAGATGAAGATAATATAGATGATATGTATGATTCTAATAAAGACAACGAATACCATTTACCTGGGATTTCAAATGGTAAAATAGATTAAATTATATATATACATATAGTTATAATACAGTATAGTTAGTTATGTATAGTTATAATTAAATAAATATATAAATAAATAAAATATATATATATATATACTTATACAGTAACTGTTCATATTATTATTGATATAATCTAGCTTTTTAGTTTAATATTAATATGCTACGTAATTTGCTATTATTAATTATTTTCATTACTCAATTTAGATTATTCAAGTCCAAAGAGGAGTTCAATAACTATTAAAAATAATAACTCAAGCCCAAATATTTTTAACTTCCCTATTGGGAAATTTTTGATTGAGGATAACCTTGATTCTCCCATAAATGTTATTGGTCATTCGATGATTAATTCATCTCCAACGATAATTATGTCACAGCCAAGCCATCATACCTCAGTGTCAACATCAAAAACTAAAAGTGTGAAAAAAAAAATTATTTTTTCACAGCCATCAAATTTAACAGGATGGTATATAATGTAATACATATATTTAATATCATATATATATATATATATATATATAATATATTTCTTGCTATTTTCATGTGATAATTAGGTTTAAGTAACTATTTATTTCAAAACTATTTTGTTGATAATTTAAATTTTATCTATATACACATCTTATTAACAATGCATATTGAACTTTAAATTTATTTTCAGGTACACATGCTCAAACTGAAAAAAAATAATAATAATTCTACAAAAACTAATGAAATTAAAAATGGTGGTAGGTATGTTACTGTTAGATAAATATTTATTACACTTGTAGGTGATTTATTTTAGAAGTATTATGTAATAAATTAGTACAAGAATAATCATACATTAAACATCTATTAAATTACAAAAAAATACAGACTGGAAAAAATATTCTTAAATATATATATATATATATATATAGTGCTTATTATAATTTAATGTATTTAACTGTTAAAATGAATTTTAACAATATCTATGTTAAATTGCTATTATTTAAAAAGCACAATTTATCATGATTATTTGTTTAAACCTAAATACTCTGAAATGGATTTTTTTTTATATTGTTTAAATTTTAATTTATTTATGATGATATATATCATGTTTTATTTTAGATTTTCAAAATCTTGTCCTGACCGCTTTAAATAAAATTAAGTATGAGATATCTAATTTGAGCTCAACTTATTGTTGATTTATTACATCCAACAAAGTACCATCAACTCATTCGATACATTTTTAAAAAATACTGGCCAAACAATTGCTTCCCAAATTTCAAACCAAAATACTTCAGTTACACTAGATGACATGTTTCCAATAAGAACTGAAGAATAATTGAAAATATTCGAAGAAAAAATTAAGGGCGATAAAATATTTCAAAATACTGCAGTAATTTTACCTATATTTTTAATACTTAATTACTATTTAATGAAAATTGACCTAATATATTATGATAACTCTTTAGATTCTATTTAAATTTAAAAAAGCACTGTTATAAAAATTCAGATCATATTAGTTTTATGATTATACCTGAAAAAATAGTATCTAGATTTAATATAAATACTTATAGTTCAATAATAATATAAATAATTGTGGCTAGTAATAGTTCTATAAGAGATTAACTACCTAGACCCTTAATTATATAAAAAAAAACTTTATAGGTACCTAGAGTAAGTATAATTATATTGTTATATTCTTTAGAATAAACTATTGGAGTTAACTAAGTACTTTATATGTATACTACAGATATTAATTAAATCTTTAGATAAATAAATAAATAAAACATGTAGGTAAAGTAATTAATTTCTTAGTGATTTTAGGTTATATACAGTAATACAATATATCAAAATTGCAATAATATAATCATTCAGATTTCAGTTAACAAGTATTTACTAGGTATCAAATATTACCATTATTATATTATTATACATACTATTGAATATCCTTCACTCAGCATAATATTAATTTTATATTACCAATATTTTTTTCTTAGATTGTTAAAAGGCTATATTTCTAAATACTTATTATACTGTGTTTCAGACACCATAAGACTTAATCCTAAGTTCCAAAATAAATTAGACAAAGAAATAGATGTACCATGGGCCACATGGTTATCCCATGCGAAGTTTCGCCTTCAGTCATAAGTTAAAAAATACATATCCAAATATTAATAATATATTTATTTTTATATAATAATTAACTAAAATGTTAATATTATACTCATGTTGTATAACCATTACTAAATTACATAATATTCAAAATTTAAATGTTTTATTTATTCAGCTTACCTATTCCTGGCATTTTTAATTTTTTAGTTTCGGTAAGTATAGGTATCGTACATTTATACCTATACAATATACACAATAATGTATGTAATATCTTTACCATATTGTTTTAGTGTTACACTTAAATAAAATAAATATTTAATATTGATATCTACTTATAATTAGATAAAACAGCCATAAAAGGTACCTATTTATTTAATTTTCACTATTTTATTTTCTATAAACATTACTAAATTGTATTTATTGGTATTAATAAGTAAATATAAAACAGAACTTATATACATATCTTAGGTAAACTATTTATAAAATGTTTAATTTACCATGTTCTCAAAACGTACAAAAATCGGACCATTAATAAAGTGAGAACATTTTGAGAACGTTCGAATAATATTGTTGAACTCCAGTTAAAATGTTGATATAAACTTAATATTACTATCAAAATGTTATATTAAGATTCTTAGAATATAAATTTGTTATCTGGGACTGCAGTGGGTCTGTTGTTGTAGATATGGATAACAAGTTGGGGTTGTCATCTTCCTTGATGTTATTTGTTTTGGATAACAAACAATCAGATAATTATGATTAGGTAATTCTATAAATTATTTTTTATTATTTAAATATCCTTTTTAATTATATTATTGCTGTATTTAAATCCAATGCCCTTGTATTTATAATTCGCAGATTTAATTCTCGGATTATTATTGCTCAGAATAATCAATACTGATTTTTGACAAATATTCGGCCAGAACATAGTGATAGCCATTTCCCATTCGCAATAATAAAATGTAAGCCATGTGCCACGTTTAAAATTTTGAAATTCCTAAATATATTAAAGATTTATAGATTATCCGTGGTCATATTTTAACAAATAAACGATAGATTCAAGTATATAATTTATCTTAATATTTTTATATTGAAATAATATAATTCGATTCTGAGTCAAAAAGTTAGGTGGATCAGTTTATAGTTTTAAAAATGATGTACTAAAATAATCAAATTTCTTAATTTTATAGGTTTAATTTTTAATTATCTCTTGTAAATATAAAAGACATTCACAAAAATTGAAAACATCAAGTTTCTATTTACAGCAAAAATTTAATTAAAATGTTTCGAAACTATAAAATATCTTCAAAATTTTTGTATAAATACCCAATACTAATGTTTTGAGTCGCTATGATTAAAATATTTGTTGGAAAACAATTAATTAAAAATAATATCATTCAATGGAAATTCGTTGAAATATTCGATTTTGTTAACATTTCGTTTCGCTCTCAAAAATTAATTTGTGACTTTCCAATAAAATTAATTTTTTCGACTTCAAAGAAAATATTTAAATTTAATTTTCAAGCCTTAAATATAAAGATTGAAAAGTTAATGAAGTTTTGATAACATATTTGTAGCATATTTTGATGATTTTTATCGTCTTGTTAAAATTTGAAATTCGAACACTCTTAAAATCTTAGATTTTAACACTAGGCTCAATATTTGTTATTAACTCGTAATAGATATGTATAAAGAACTTTGTTCTAAATTTTCAGGGCTTATTGTCAGAACAAAGTTATTTTATCGACATTTTCTGTAAAATCTGAGAAAACTTCAATATTTCAATTGTCGATAAATAGCTTAATATTTTTATTTTATTTTCATTTCATCCGTATTAAACGATAAGTAATAATTGTTGTGAAAAAGTCTCAACGATTATTATTTTTCAGTAACGATGAACAGTGAACACGCAACTAAGACACCATATCGAATCATTTAGTTGCCTATACTCACGGTAGTTAATTTATATTACCATAAATTAATAATTTTTCTATGGTAATGTAACCTAATTATTATCAATAACATTTTAACCTGTACTTCATGAGAATAATGTTCGAGAATTATAAAAAAATTCCAAGAAAATTTTAATAACATTTTTACGAAATTATTATTTTATAATTTTAAGTCTGTGACTTTGTTTTGAATAAATCAATTTGTATAACATGGGTTTTTAGTTAAATAGGATTAAAGACAAGTGATTCCATTAAATAAATTATGGTAAAAATTGGTGGCTCACAAAAAATAATCTCAATTATATATACTTTAATTACTCAAGTAATAAGTTACACAAATTAAATTATTCAATATATTGATGGATAATATATTTTATAACAACTATGTAATAAACTTGTATATTAAGCAGTATGTTTTGCATGACATTTTTCCGTGTAAATAAAATTTTTCTCATTAGGTGAATGATGATTATAATATAAATAAAAAGTACATAAGTTCTACGAGAATTATTATTTAGTATTTACAATTTAATTTTGACTAATTTAGATAAATGTTGTTTTAAGAATATTTATTGACTTTATTATTATTGTAATATAACAAGTTCATAACTGACCAAGTAATATAAATTTGTTTAGAGACCGGCAAAATAATTAGCATTGTAAAATGCTACATTTAAAATAACTTAATATTATGTTGATATCAAAAATGATGAACAAGTCAAAATAAAATAAAAATTATCAAAACATATAACTGTAAGAATTTAAACATAATCATTTTTAAACACAAAACTATATTTATTTATCAAAATAATAAATTTAATTATTTAGTAACTCAATTAAAAAATCATTCCGAATAAACTTCTTATCTAATATGAACACCAAACCATGTTAACAGGAAACATTAGGTCAGTATTTGAGATAAACACAATATTAATATAATTTTTTTTTTTGTTACTCTTTAATGTTTTTCTTATTAATATTAAATTATATATACATTTAGAATAGGTATTAGGTATATCAATTTATCATAGGATAAAATATAAATAATTTTAACTACAGATATCTAACAAAAATATTGATTATAATTTCAAATTTAATATTTTAATGCCTTTTAACTACAAAATTTATACTTATAATAGATTCTGAGCAAATTAAGAAGCCTTAAAATTAAAAAAAATTAATTTAAATCATTAAAAATAAATCAAAGTTGTGTATACATTAGAACAAATGCAATTTGTACAATTATATCAAGTAATTTTCTTCAAAATATTAGTGTAATAAATAGAAGTTGAATATAAATATGTATATTTACATACATGTATATTTTTAGTATGTGCACTCAATTATCATTACATACTCATTATATTTTTCATCGTAAGAGTTTTATCAATATTTAGCATTATTACCATGAATATAAATTGGATTGATATCAAATTATTGCTACAAATCAAAAAATTTAACAACAAAAATTATTTAACACATTTGTTATAATTATAATAAATTATATTACATACTAGAGTGGCGCATTTAATCGACATCCATAATAATTAAATGTACAAAAAAATATATATTATTATCAAAGTTATTAACATGCCCACTCGCTCTTTATTGCTGCTGCTGCTATATTTAAGTTGGCATACAAAATAAATTATTTTCGATAATTTTTCATAATAATAATAATAATAATATAATAATAATAATAATTGTAATACAATAATAATAATGACAGTAATAATACAATAATAATTATAATATAGTAATAATAATACGTTAATTAATTAATTAAATTGTAATATGCAGTGGCGGCAACGGATTAGTCATTGTATTTGAAAACAAATATTCACGTCTTTACAGTTTCAGTATAAATACATATAATATATACATATATGTTATAATAATACTCAATATTATCTACACATGCATGAATAAATTAACTATTTTTATTTTATTTTTACATTATTCTCAAAATATAGTGTTGAACAAATTGAACAATAAGTTCAACAAGTTGAACAAATTGAATACACATAAAAATAATTATCTTTAAGAATGATCAGTCTGCTGTTAATTTTATACAATTGGAGGCAGCTAAGAAAAAATATTTAGTAAAAAGTGACAGATAATTAATAATAGGCATGTTATAAACACATGACTTGCTAATATAAATAATTGTTATTGCTTTGAAAAGTCATAATATTGTTATTTACTTAGACACAAAAAACTGTTGAGGTCCACCTCCTCCAGGGCCTGATGGACCTCCACCGCCGCCACCTCGAGTATTGGTAGCATATAATTGTTGTTGGAAATTATGAAATTGCTGTGCATAATTTGGATCAGCTGTTGTTGGACCAATAAACGAATTTGATACTGGAGGACCACCTCTAAATCCTACAGGAACCCCTCCTGGTCCTGGACCACCACCACCACCCATTGACGGTGGTAAAGGTTGTGTAGCATCTGGAGGTCCTGGACCGCCTAACATTCCTCCACCTTTATGCTGTTGAGGAGGTGGTCCACCTGAACCTCCACCCATCATCATAATTTGCTGTTGTGGATGGCCAGATGATGGATGATGAAGAGGAGGTCCACCACCACCAAACATACCATCTGGTGGACCACCGTTATAATTACCACTACCCATACCCATTCCACTGTTACCACTTCCTAGTCGTATCATACCTGTTGCATTACCGCGCATCATTCCTCTATTATTATTTGGACCACCAGGTGGTATACCACTCATACTTCCACCTGGAGGACCACCATTACCACACATCATATCATTCATACCAGCACCGCCATTACTGTTATTGTACCCCCCACCACCAGAATTAGGAAAATATTGTAAATTGTGAGTAGGCATTTTACCATCTAAATTAGACAATTGATTTCCACTATTACCCGGTCCACCTGAAAACCTTTGTAAAAAATCTATGCTAGGTTGTTGTTGTGGCTGTTGTTGCTGCTGCTGCTGTTGCTGTTGTTGAGGTTGTGAGGACGCACCATTTCTAGGACCACCACCACCTCTGGAATTATTAGGTAAATATTGTATTGTATTGGGAGCACTAGGTTTAACTTGTATATTAGCACCGCCGTTATAAGGTACTCCAGGACCACCTCCAGATGGTATTCTAGGCATAAGCCTTTGTTGTTGTTGCTGATATTGTTGTTGTTGCATCATTGATGAAGATTTTGGAGACAATGGACCTCCACCAACGCAAGAATTCATCATCATACCACCGTTTCTACCACCTCCTATTGGAGGCATTCCCATTCCTATTCCACCTCCTGGTCCCATAGACATTCCATTTCCATTAGGTCCTGGTGGTGGTGGCCCTTGGCCTAATCCAGGACCCGGTCCATACATCATACGACCACCACTACCAGGAGGTCCACCCATGCCACTATCATGCATTCCACCACCACCCATTCCCATAGGACCACACATGGGATCGTTATTGCCTCCCATCATATGAATGGGAGGACCACCTCCGCCGCCAAAAGGTGACATCATTCCACCGCCAGGATGATGATGACCGGGACCACCAGGATGATGTAAAGGAGGTCCACCACCATGGTTCACAATTGGCGATGATCCTCCACCAGCTACATTATTAGCTAACTGTTGATTCATTTGAGCTAAAGATGATATGGGATCAAAATGTTTCATCGGTTGTTGTTGTGATGATTGTAAACCAGCTGCAGCTGCTGCCGCAGCAGCGGCTGATGGGTTTAAAGGCATATCTCCAGGACCCAAGCGTGATGGAAATCCTAAGGGAGAATCTTTGGGATCCCCCATCATTCCCCCAGATTTATGTTGTGGTGGGCCACTTCCATAATTTCCAGGATATCTTGATTCATTCATCATTTGCTGTTGTGGACTAGGTGGACATGTATAACCTCCATTCCTCATTTGCTGCATATTATTTTGTTTATTAGAAGGACCATTATTGCTTTCCATAGCTGATGGACTAGGTGATGCAAAATCACTAGGTGTACCAGGGTAACGATTACTTCCAACTGGTATATCCATAGATGAGGGTGAATGATGGTTAGAAGGTGTATTAGCTTGTGAAGATTTTATATTTGAATCAGTCATTATCATGTCCATATTATTTTGAGATGTAGGTATTCTAAAATGTAAAAGAATAATTTAAAGATTAAATAATATCAAATACATTCAAGTACTAGAATAAATGTTTAAATCACAATAAACCCCATTTTGAATTAAGAATAGATTTCATTACAAAATAAATTTCAATATTATTTTATTATTATATATAAAATATACCTATATATATATATATATATATATATTTATTAAAATTATTAAACCATTAAACGATAATTTCAACATCTTCATAAAATTTACTCTAGGAATTAAATATAAATATAAGAATTATGTATTAAATTAATTAAACCATGAAATCAAAGTAATAATAACAACCATTGACTAGTAATAAAATAGTAATATGAAAATTGAATGAAAAAATATGTTGTTTAAATAAATTGAATAACTACCAAAAACAGATAAGAATCGATTACAATTATATATTTTAATACTTTAATAAAGACTATGATAAATATGTATTACTTATAATCCTTTATTTTTTATCATTTTTATATTTATAGTTATAAGAATTTAAATGTAGTATGACCTAATCCGTACCCAAAAATTCAAAACAGTATTAAGTATTAATGCTTATTGTACAATCAGTTTAAACAAAAAGTATCATTAAATATAATTAATAAGACAGTAAAAAATTTAATTTATATTAAAAATGAATAAATGCTTATTACTCGTAAATTAATATATAAATAACTAAATAGTTCACAAATAGAAATTAATTTAACAATTGCTTAGCCCTGAAGTATTAATACATTTATAAAGTACGACTGGTTTTAAGAATTATGATTTTATTGATTTTAAATATACTTGATGATGAATTTTTAATTCAAAACCGGTCATACTTTACAAATATAATAATACTTCAGGCTTTTATTTCTATAAGTATATAAATTATTTATTTATTTATTTATTTATATAGGTATATAAATTATTTGTTTATTTATTTATATATTAATTATTGTTAATAAATGTTTATTTTTAAACGAGATAAAAACATTACAATTTAACTCAAAATTAAATCTCTCATTAATAATTTTTAATTTAAGTTTTTCTTCCATACTATTAAGATTGTTTTTCTAAGTACACATATCACACTAATTACACAAGTTAACTTTCTTTAAAAATTATAAAATTAGAATATAGTCAAACTTATTTCACTTACGATGGGGACATCGTAGAAGTAGTTGTAGTTGTGGAAGACGAGGAATCTTTTAAACCAGTATTAGGTTGTTTTTGTATGGTAAGTTCTTGACCATCAAAAGTATTTAAGTACTGAATATGTTGGGGAGAAGGAACAGGCATTAAATTTGGTTCATCTCCTCTTTTTGATAGCTGCTTATTATTGTGACAAAATAAGCCATCTGAAAAGATAAATAATAAAAATTACAAATTAACATATTGAAATAACAATATAAGTGGAGCTTGGTACACACCTGGAGATGGTTGACCACCACCACCAGATTGACCTGGAGTTGCAATATTAGACGATGGAGAAAATTCATTGGACATAGGTCCTTTTTGTTGTTTCATTGATGAACAAGAATTATGGCCTGTGCCACTGCCAGGTGACATGTGTACTGGTGTACCTGGATTACTTGATTGCAGTCTTGATCCACTACCACCTGGAGATCGTACAGCAGTGGGGCTCATATTTGATGAAGGACGACCTCCAGCTGGTGAATTAAGTGCTGAACATGTACGAGGAGAAGGCAATGATAAATTGCTGTTTGTAACTCCAGTCCCATTACCAGCTAAAGGAGAATTAGGGCTACAACTCGGAATAGAAACAATAGGTACACTTGCAGATCGAGCTACTGTTTGGTGGTAAGAAGGAGGTGGACCACAACGTCCTACATCCTTCTTTTTGTCATCTTCATTACCAAACATTGATTTTTGCCAATCAGAAGAACATGAAGTTGGTGTTTTAGGTGGCAATAAGAGATCTGCAGTAGAATTTGTTGCTGCTGCAGCTGTTACAACAGCATCTACATCCAAATCATCATCAATGGAAGGCATTAAATCATCCATACCACCACTTCCACTGCAGTTATCCAATGGACCTCCAACAGAGGAAGAAGAGGTAACAGGTGGAGGTTGTTGTTGAGAAGGTCCTCCACCTCCACTAGAATTTTCAGGAAATAACATTTGTTGAAGCTTACGCAATGTAGCTTGTTGTTCTTCACGATGTTGTCTTTGCTGTGGTGTCAAATTTTCATCAGGTACTTGTACACCTATTGTAAAATAAAATATATATTTAGAATAATACCTAACAGTTAATTTATCACATACAATTAATGATTTAATTCATAATTATAATTCTACATCATTCATTAAATCAAATTAAAATTATAGTTATTTTTAATATTATATTTTATAATGCAATTTAAAAGAACACATGTTACATTTAACATTAACATTATAAAATGGGCGTTTTTAAGTTCAATTAAAACTTTCAATAACTCGAGTCATGTTTACTTAATTTAACTCTTAACTAAATTACAAATTTATTGCCCATAAAAAGTTCAGCCTTGGTATTTTTTTATTTTAAATTACTAACCAGCTAATGAATGATGTGCTGCTGCTGCAGCAGCTGCAGCTCCCAGAGATGAATTTCCACCTCCAATAGTATCATCGAAATCAGCTAAAGATGGAATCATAGCTGCCAAAGAGTTATGACCTCCAGGAGCATCACCTGAACCTGAAGAAACTGGTGGGCCACCTGAAGAAAACAAAATAATATCTGTTTTAGAAGGATGATATTTATTAGGACTACTAATTATTGTCATAACATCAATCATACCATGATGATGTGGAGGTCCACCACTCATTCCTACAGATCCTCGGTGATGGAGAGCACCAGATGGATGATGAGGGGGAGGATGATGAGGATGATGAGGACCACCACCCATTATTGGTCTATGGCCACCATCCATCATGTTAGATGGGTGATGTGGATTTGGATGGTGTTGTTGATGATGTGAATGATGATGATCCATTAAATCTAAATCCATACCATTCATAGGCATTCCACTACCACTACCAGATCCCATAGAACATAGATTTCCTAATAGAAAATCCAAAAGTTATTAAAAATAATATCTTATGGAAATTTTCTTAAATAATACCTTGTTGATTCATCATAGAACTGGGACCACTCATCATTGGTGAATTTGGATTATTATTGTTGTTCATAAGCATTCCAGGACCCATAGGACCACCACTATTACCATGATTTTGCATACCCATACCAGGCCCACACATAGATCCCATCATATTATGATTTGATGGATGTTGTAACTGCTGAGGTCCTGAATCATTCATATGATTTCCCTAAAAAAAAAGTATTATTTTATGTAAGAAATAAGTTAGAACTAGTATATTTATTACATTATAAATTATCAGGGGAGTATTGTTAACAAATAATTACTTCTAATAAATAAATGAATGCAAATATACACCTAATATTAATTTTTTAAGAACATTTCATTTAGGTCTTTTTTTTTTATGTCAATAAAAATTGGTCTAACATTTATGATATTAAATTAATTTTAAATATGGGTTTAATTTATTATCATAAAATATAGATGTACATAATAACAATATATGATACTCATAATACTATAGTAAATAATATAAATAACTTATTTTAACTATTCAAGTCGATAAACTTTAAAAGTTTTCCATTATTAATAATCATATATATTCTTAATAAAACTCTTAAAAAAAACTACATTTGTTTATAATTATAACTTATTTTTTATTTCTGTTTATTATCTTTTAAATTAATATTACAGAATTAATTAAATTCAAGAAATAAAAAGTTGAATGAAAATTTTTACCGAAAATTGTTTATTACATTTATTCATCTTCTTTAATTTTAAAATAATTTCAGCAAATAACTGTCATATATTAATACAGTTAAATATAGGAAAATACTTAACATTTAATTTTAGGTAAAAAATTTAGTTAGTATTTAGTTATATTTTAAGATTAATAAAATGGGGTACAATAGCTTTTTGGTTGTTACAAATATATTAGTAAAATATACTAAACACATAAATTAATTAATAATATTTTAATTATTTGCATTTAGATGGTTGTACTTATTGAATAATTGTTAATAGGTAAATTGCAACACAATATTTGTTTTATTAAATTAAAATATAAAAATTTTTAAAAAAATATATATTATTTTGGAAGGTATTATTAAATATTTATCTTAATATTAATGAATGTGGTACTCTACAAGATTACAATAAAGAAGTTATAATAAATTATACTTGATTAAACTTAACTAAATATTAATTTAACATAGTGGGTAGTAAAATATTTTGTTTCTGTACAAATTTTAATTTAATAAAAAATATGAACTTTTATTTTATATATATATATACATTACTTCTATTCAAAAACAATATATTTCTTACTTTATAAAATTAAATAAATATCTAATATTGAAAATATAAACTGTCAGATATAATATAATATGAAATTAATGTTATTAATTTACCTGATGATGACTCCACATAGGCATTCTAGCTCCAGGTTGTTGCTGCATTATTGGATTATCCATTGATGCAGCTGATGGACTGTTATTGTTTTTCATTGCTCTCGAATAAGGTGTGCCACCACCATATTTTGGTTGTCCACCATGAGGTGCCATGCCTTTATTAAGCTGCTGTTGATGTTTCAATTGTTGTTGAGATGCAACAACATTATTCATCCACTGCCCAGGATTTTGTCTATTAAACTGGTTGACTTTTAATGGATGTTTCTAACAAAATTAATTACATTTTGGATTTTATTTTTACAATATTAAATACAAACAAATTTTTAAAAAATATGTAACAAATGTAAACAAATCAAATTACTTCTAAAAATTTTTTTGTTCGTGGTTGAGCACAATGATACGCTATAATTGTAGGATATTGTCCAGCTAATACTGATTCAGCTGATTTGTTTGCTAAACTGGTTGAAAATACGAAAATTTGACTTTGTTGTTGCATGTACTGTTGTTGTTGAGCATCCATGTTTCCACCAGTTGTATTTGATTGTTTATTACCCGTAGTGTTACCACCCAAGACATTACTCATTAATGGTTGTACACCACCAGAACCATCAATTAAATCGGTTGGTCCTCCACTACCACTGCTCATTGAAGATAGCACAACTCGATCACAAGATTCTAAAATAAAAATGTAATGCTAAAAATTTGAAAATTAATAGTTTAAAAACTACATTTTACCAAAATCAGACTCTACTGTAGTTGTAGTTGTACTGGTTGTATTGTTATCTTCTATTTTAATACCACTGTTATTACCGATGTCTTCATGTTTAACTGTGTAATAAATCAATATTTTAATAAAATACAAAAATAAAATTTAGTTGTAACATACTTTGACCAAGACACATATCATTTGACATAAGTTGTTGTTTCTGGTCAGTGTTTGATGATCCTGGTGATGCGTTACTACCAGCACTTCCACCTCCAACACCACTTTTATTATCTGCTACATCCCCACTAGCATTATCTATTAAAGCTGTCATATCAGTTTCAGTTTTAATAATGCTGTCTAAATCGTGATGAAGATCACCACTATTATTATCAGGCGTTTTGATCATTTGGTTATCATCACCGGCACCAGGGTCCCCCCCTTCACTAATAGATGAAGATTTATTTTCTATGCACTGCTTCTCCTTGATCATCACACGCGTAAGCTATTGTGTGATTATAGCTTTTGTTTGAAGAGAGCTGTTAAAAAAAAAAAAAAAATGAGTATAAATAATTTACATATTATAAGAATAACATAAATCTAACTAACGAATGTCAAATATTTTAAATTGGGAATTTTCAATATTTTTATAAAAATATCATCTAATTTAAATATTAATTTTAATTTTCAAAATAATAATATTTTGTGTTTAATAAAGACATTTAATTTTAAATAGGTAAAGAGACAAAATGAGTATTATGATACCAATCATAATTGGTTAAATATATAAAACAATAGGCAATAAGGCATTGTTATGCTTTTATTAAAATAAGAAGTCTTAATATAAACTCACTATAGTATTAAATACAATTATAACTACAAATATTTAATAAATATCAAAAACAGTACTTGAAATATAAATATCAGCAGTCATCTCCAAAGGTATCTCAATAGATATCTATTGTAACTAATAATTCAAATTTTAATCTTTATAAATTTTTTTTTTTTTAATTTGAAAATGAAGATTTTTATCTCAATATAGGTTTGCATTTAAAGCACTATCAACAAAAATACTAACAAGAAATTAAAAAAAAATATGAGTTACCTGTAGAGTATTTTTAGGTCCCATTCATAATTATGGTAGTTTTATAATTTAAATTTCTAATAATAGACAAATTCATAAATAGATCATTCATCACTTTATTCAGAGTAAAAAATTGTAAAAATAATAAACATTTATAATTAGAAATATAAATTTAAGAATCCATAATCAGTGTTGGGACTATCTCGATAAAATTATCGAAAAAATAATCTAAATAAAGTCCAAATTATCTATTCATCTTTTATCTAGATAAATCCGGAATATCTTTATTTTATACTTCTCTTTATGCGTTTTCAAACAAAGTGGTTTTTTTTTTTTTTTTTTTTTATTAAAATAAGATTTTATTATTTTATTTAGCTGTTTTTCATAATTTGTCATACAATAATAATTTAAATATGTGAACTGTGACATTTATATGTATTTTAAAATTTAAGTTATTACATTAAAAAGTATTTTAATACAAATTCCATCACAACCCAATGTTATATACTTATATACTAGTATATTATCTTTATACAACTTAATGTTAACTTATATAACCAAATTAAATTTAGTTAAAAAAATATGAATAATGTAAGGCCACTTAGTAATCACTACTTGTACAGATATTAAAATATAGGTAGGTACAATAAATAATAATTTAAAATAATCTAAATCTGTTAAACATTTACTAACCTATTTATTATTAAGATTAATAAGAATATTCCATCAAACCTTAAGGCATTAAATAAAAGTTATTTTAAAAATATAGCCTAGAGTCAAACCTTGAATGTTATTTTAAATAATTCTCTTTTATGTTTTTATTTCATCTAGATAACTGAAAGATTATCTTTTATCTTTATCTTAGATAAACCTTTACTCATTATCTTTATCTTTAATCTAGATAAAAATATTGGTTATCTTTCCCAACACTACCCATAATTCTATAATTAAATAAATTATACACTAAAAACCTGTACTTTATAATTTATAAGCAAGATTATAAGTATAATTTACGATTATTAAGATTATTAAAATTTAATTTTTCTAAATATTTAAATATATTTCACTTTTTAAATATTTTTTTTTTTTTTTAAATAATTTACAGCTTTTTATTATCGTTCTGCAACTCAAAATTCAATACAATTCAAAATTATTACTATTTACTTTTATTCAAAATCTAATAAATTATAATAAATTGCCCAGATAGGATCTACTTAAGAATTAACATATATATAATTTTATTATAATCAAACAGTTATAGCATTCAATAATAATTTTAAAAATTAAGTACCTATATTTTTATAAATAGATAAAAAATGTAAAGACATATCCAGTATACAATCTACATCATGATGGTTGAAAATTAAATACATATAAATAAAAACCAAATAAACATATATATATTTATTTATTTTTGTATATATTGAAAAACAACTATTTTCTATTTTTTTTTTTTTTTTATAAAAAAATTTAAAAAATCACCTAAGGAAGAAAATATAAGACTCATAGTTGGTAAATTAGATTCATGAAAAGGCATATAATTAGTAAAATGTTACCTATTTTTTAAAATAATGTGAAACTCATACTTTAAACCTTATAGAGGTAATTTATAGTGAAGTTTTGTAATAAAGCAATAAAAAATGTAATTAAGAATTAGTAAATGGTTAATATGCGTAAATTAATATATAAATAAATAGTTTAAAAATAGAAATAAATGCTTAACCTGAAGTATTATTATATTTGTAAAGTATAACCGATTTTAAGAATTGCGATTTTATTGACTTTGTATATACCAGATAATTAATTTTTAATTAGAAATAGGTAGTACTTTACAAATATAATATTCCAAACTAAACATTTATTTACATATTTCTATGTATAAACTATTTATTTATTTATTTATATAATAAGGTTTTAAAGTTAATTACAATATTTCTAAACCTTTGTATAATGACAACACACTATTTAAATATTTCATACCTTATGACACCATAATAATAAAATAACCATATATTTTTTTTAAAAAAAATTAGAAATAATTTAGTCAACATTTTTTAAATAATTTCATCAATTTGAAACAATATAACTTATATTTTACTATATCAAATACCAATTTTTATATTTTGTGTATAAAAATATTTGAATATTTTTTTTGTCATTTAAAATACAGCAAAAAGAAAACATTGGTTTACTTTGGAAAAGGTTTACCATATTATTAGTAATAACACTTTTAATAATTATCTTTCATACATTTATAAACATGATAGGTATAGGTAGATAAGTAGTCTTGTCATTGATTTTCTTAACTATAACTATTTTAATATTAGTTTAAATCTTATTTTATCAATTAATTTATAATATTTGATGAAAACAGTAGTTTTAATAAATTCATTGAATATATTTATATCAAATTGTATCACTTATACATATGCCCCTGATAAATTATTTTAAAATTATGTAGTATATATATTAATTTCTAAGTGTAAAAAAACTAAACTTAACAATATTAATAAGTGCAGTTTTGAGATTAAATTACATATTTTTTATTCTACATTACTGAAAATAAAAGAATATTTTAAACATAATCTTATTTCAATATTTGGATAAAAATGGACTTGCTTTTTTGCTTCATTTTAATTTTGTTTTTGAGCAAATTGCATAGAATTCTCTATTTATTACATAGGTATGAAATATAGAACTGTGTTCAGTATTAGGGGAAAATATTTTTGATACTTAAAAGAAAATATTAACATTTTATTTAATTCATGACTAATAAAATGTTATTAATTATTCTTCTGATATTATAATTGTATATGATGTTATTATAACATTGAAGACAAAACAAGAAATGTGTTGGTTGTGGCTCATAAGAATAAAGAATAAACAAGCTTAACTCTTTCTAGCACAGGGGTCTGAATAATTTCCATACCTTGGCTGCACAGGTACCAATTTGTTCAGAAAAAGTATGATCCAAACATAAAATAATGTTGTTCTATTAAAAAATACGAAGTAGGTAGGCGTTAAATAATTTTTTAAATTTTTACAAAATTTAAAATTTCCGAGTCTTACTTGCTATCTGAAGAAGATTTAAAAATTATCAGTTGACATGAAGGCAAACAGTAATCATTGTCATCACCAGAATTGTCACACGAAGTATCACTATTATCATCAGAAGGAATTTCTTTAAAAAATACTTAACCAATGTCCTCCTCATTTGTTTAAACTTATTTTTGATAATTAAGAAGTAAAAAATACAACTAAACCACTAGTATTTCAATTATAAAAAAATAAATAAATATAATAAATTAATAAATTAATTCGTATCATCTATGTTTTGCTCATTTTCTGCATGGAGGGTTATAAATAGGATACTTGCATTTTATATTTTTACAGACAAACAGTTATCGATAAAATGGTTTTACAAGCATTGAATGAAATTATACCATATATTCTTTCATATGTAATAATATAATTCATAGTTATATATTTAATACGGAAATGTAAAAAAAACAATATTAGGAATATTTGGTTGACGAAAAGAAAAAAAAATTACCAATATTCCACAAATGATAACTTCAAATAATTTGATATTAATTAGTTATTATTAAATTATTATTCAATAGTATTAAATTAGTTTTATTATTAGTTTTATATATATAATGGACTGTAATAAATATTTACCTCAAGTCTTGATGTATAATTATTTAGAGCAACACGGAAAAATTATTTTAAAAGATTAAAATTATTTTTCGTATCACCAAGATGGAAGTGAGATTTTTGAGGTGGGACATATGGTATGCCACCGTGCCGGAAAGAGTTAAAAGCGGTAGGTGTGTTAAGTTATTTGATGGATATTATTGAGCGAGCACAACTCACCAAGATGCTTATGACGATTGCAACATTGTCTAGTGATGGAACAAAGTCAAACGTTATGGCACGGTTTTCCGTTCATTCTCATCACCTCCACCAGTGTCGTTCGATCGGATTGGGTGACCTTTCTGTAGCATGGTCTACACAGTGAACTGTAAACGGACTCGACATAACCACAATCATATTGAAGAACGTAAAAGGCGAGCACAGCAGCACTGGTCCAGTGGATAGTGGACTGACCTGCGTATCTACTGTGGGACAAGACAGCAGACCGGTGGTGTGTTAATGGTGCAACATGTTCGGCGACGATCACCGAACGGACACGAAACGGTCAATCCCTAAGGAAACCACTAACACGTTACGGGACGACGGGACGGCCGGTAAAGGCAGCGGTTGCGCGACGACGTCCGGACGGGATTCACGCGGTCGAGAACCGCGAGACCGGAGACAGCGTTGAAAAGACGCGCCCACAAATCTGGGATCGCGACAATTGTGCGGTCACGCGCGTACCGGACTACGGTAAACAAAACGTGTAAGTTCAACCACCGCGTTCGCAGCGGGCTGGCTCGGCGATGCGCGGATATCGGCGACACGAGAGACAAGTGCACGCGAAACGCTTCCGGATCGCGTACGTACGCGATGAGCTAGCGAAGAACCGTTGTGGTGTTGTGTCGTCGTGTGCTTGAGAGCCCGATCGTGTACGCTGGTGCTGCTAGTGCTCCGCCGACGAATGACGATTATTATTATGTTGTAACGTAGTAATAGTAATAATATTTCACGCGCACGCACGCGCACTAACGCAACGAATACGAGTACGAGCACGCACGCACGCACGCACTAACACGCACGCGGCAGCGCACGCACGTACGCGGGCCGCTCGCACGCGCAGGGGCACGGGAACGGGGCGCATTCGCACGATAAAGCGCCGGACGGTCGGCCGCGGCGGCGGGCATCGGCCATTTTGACGGTAACACACGGCGCGTGGAGGCGAAAACGACGCGGATCGAGTGGAGGCGACAGGACCGACAACAACAACAATAACACACCGGATCGTATTGTTCGCGGTGTGACAACGGAAATTTCGTGCACCGCCAGATCGATTCCGGTTCGTTCCGCTGCTGTTTCACCACCGTTCGCTCCGCCGATACGCGACGATATCACGGAACGATATTTCGCGTCATTATTCTATCGCTGCCCGACGAACCCCTACCACTGCCGGACGCGCAATATTTTAACGTTCACGTTTATATAGTATAACATTCCAATGTTTGGCCGAATTTCCAACGCGGTCGCTTATCGACGTGACCGCTACGTGGGCTGTGACCATATTGGCTAATGGCGATGAGAAGACAATTTTTTTCTGTGTTCTCTGTGTAATATTATTAATTTATGAATTTATGATAACTAGGCTTAGGGACTTACAGCTCTAAAAAATACACAAATATGCTTCTAAAATCATAAAAATAAGCATTTATATACATTAAAAAAAAAAAAATGACCACATCGTACACAAAATAAAACGTGTCCATCGAATTTAAATATATTTTTAAACTCCAAAACAAAACTTTGTAGTCGGCTACTCGTAGACTGTTGTAATTTCGGCATAATACTATGTTACAAATAATAATAATATAATAATAATAATCGATTGAACACTAAACAAATAATCTATTATTCTATATCGACTATTATCTTTATCGACATCCGGTCAATATCCAGTAGGTTATACGGTCGATACGGGTTTATGGTATTATTTATACTTACACAAAAATTATAACGAGATATGAGAGGTAGTTTGCAAATAGCATATTACTAAAAGTCGTCTTGGTACATTTTTTTTTCGATCGGTTGAAATATGCAGTAGTAGTTATATGTATCTGTAGTTTTTAATTTTAAATAATAAAATTTGAGAAATTTGTCAAAATATGCAAAATAAGCATAATAATGTTAAAATAAACACTCTCCTGCAAAATCTATCAAATATGCAAAAATATGCACATTCAAATTTTAAATCTGATATCATGGCATCGAGAAACGAATTTATTTCGCGCTCTGCTATATTTAGCAATAATTAAAAAAAATATGCAAATGCTATAAGTCCCTAAGAATAGTCATGACCAAGATGCGTCCATAAATATGTGTAAATTGTGTATATGGTATATAATATCTGCGACTATTAATAAATTAATGTTATCAGCTATTATAGAGTTTCAGTGAGATAAAATTAATTATGTACCATGACAATGTCTGTTTTTCGCTAAACTATTTCCGAGCTGTATTTATAAAACTGAATGCTTTGAGAAACCAAGAGATCAGAGAGCTCACTTGATATATAGATATATCGTCAGCGGCGGATTGGCCCACCGGGTTAAAGTTCCTGGTGGGTCCGTAGTCGTATTATAACACTGGGCCGATGTACTTGGTTTAAAAATTATTTTATAAAAATAAGGTATTTAATTGTAAGATTATAATAAAAACCCAGTGTAAACGCGATGTAAACAATTCTACGAGCATTTAACCCATGAATAAAGGAGACTTTTATGGAAAATTATTATTATTAAATGGTGGGCCGGTCATACGGTAATCTCCCGGGCCGAAATTTTTAGCCAATCCGCCGCTGTATATCGTTTATTACAGGGACGGCCAACCCAAATGATCTTGTGGGCCACTTTGTAAATACATTACAATCCTGCGGGCCACATATAGGTTGCCAAAAAAAGGTCATCAGCCAAAATATTAATATAATCACATATTTTTATATTTTTTTTTATTCAAAATTAGATCACATATAAAATTATAAAAGTATTTAAAAAAAATTAAAATATATATAAAAGTAAAAATAAAAGTATTTAATACAAAAAAAATGGAGTAAACTTTACTATTTAGTGAGATATTTGTTTCTCAACTCGTTCACTAAGCTTTGTTAAATCAATAGAAATGCTTGTATTTGCACACCGTAATTGATGTTGCAGGTTTTCATCTGTTAGGTTTGAGCGTGATTTATCTTTGGCGAATTTCATTTTCGAAAAAAACGATTCACTAGTGTAAGTCGATCCAAATGCACTCACAACTTTTTGTGCTAGATTTCTCAAATTGGGAAAATTTTCTTTTGTTATATTAATATTATAAAAATCTATTTTTGATTTTGATGTTTCAAAAATGTGTTTTAATTCATTATTGCATTATAAGTCAACGAGTTCCATTTGAAGATATTCTGGGGCCGAATTGACATCAGTATAAAAAGGAGATGAATATATTTCAAATATTGTCTTGTATTTGTCTAAATTAGTGAAACGACTTTCAAAAGCAGCTATAAGTTTCCTTGTTTCTTGTGCATATTTAATGCTATCGATATGTTTTGAATTTTTCAATTCGTTTAGCAATGGAAAGTTTTGAACGTTATTATTTTTTAGTTGAAATTCAAGTAACAATAATTTCTTCTGAAATGCATTGATGTAATTACATGAATCTATTATTAAATTATCTTTTCCCTGTAATGATATATTTAATTGGTTCAGTTTTTCGACAATATCAACTAAAAAGCATAAATCTAATAACCATTCATCATTACTTAATTCTAATACTGGTTTTTGTTTATCATTCATAAACAAGTCAATTTCATGACATAACTCATAAAATCGCTTTAAACATTTTCCACGACTTAACCATCTGACATGATTGATATATACTACATCACCATATTCTGAATCTAATTTTTTCAGGAACTCCTTGAATTGTCGGTGGGGAAGCGCATGTGAACGAATGTAATTCACTGTTTTTATGACTACTTGCAAAACATGGTTAATCGATAATACTTGAGAACATAGATTTTGTTGATGAATCAAACAATGGATTATAAATAAATCATCTCTTTTCCAGAAATTATTAGTTTTTCTGGTAGATTCTACTTTATCGATCAGTAATTTTATAGCTCCTTTTTCTTTACCAACCATAGCAGGTGCACCATCAGTTGATATTCCAGAAATAATTTCCAAATCCAAATTGTTTTCGCATATACTGTTTTCAACAGCGTGAAAAATATTTTCACCTTTTGTAGTTCCTTTCAAACTTATCAATTTTAACATTTCTTCAGTTATTTGAAATGATTCATTTACTCCACGAATGAATATTACAAGTTGAGCTGTATCTGATATATCTGTACTTTCGTCAAATGCAATAGAAAAATATTTGAAATCTTGAATTCGATCGCGTAGTTTTACAATGATTTCGTTTGAAATGTCATTAATTCGACGACGTACTGTTTGTCGGGATAAACTTATATTCGAAAATAGTTTATTTTTATCAGGTAAAATATCCTTTGCTACAGCTTCCAAACATTCTTTCACAAATTCACCATCTGAAAATTTTTTCATTTTTTTTGTAATCAAAAATGAGACAGAATAACTTGCTTTAACGACATTAGATGGTTGCTGTAATGCTAAACTAAACATTTTTTGTTGACTTTTTAATTGTGACATAAATTCCCTGAGCTTTGATTGTTTTACTTCACTACTTAATTTCAAATAATCATTATGTTTTGTTTCATAATGCCTATTAACGTTATATTCTTTAAATACAGCGACTGTTTTTCGGCAAATCAAACACATTAATTTTGTGTTTTGAATTATAAAGAAGTACTTTTCTTTCCACTCTTCACTATACTTTCTATTTTCGTCTACAATTTTTCTTTTCTTTGCATCACTTATATTTAAAATAAATAATAAAATAATAAAAAAAAAGTACGTACTTAAATATTTTTCCACACTGAACGCACTTCAACAGTCAGCAAACGGACAGATTATGACTGTTATAGTGTTATTAGCCACGTTTTATTTTAACAATACAATTTGCTATAAGCTGGTGTCTACTCGTATATATTTTTATCAGATTAGATTAGAATTATTACTTTTGTTGCGATTACGTTGTTAATAATACAGATACCACGTTGTGCGGGCATTCCAGTATATTCTATCGGCGCAAAAATAATTTTTTTTTGTAAATACTTGATAAATGTCGCGGGCCACAAAACTTTCCAAGGCGGGCCGCGGGTTGGCCATCCCTGGTATATTATAATCAATCAGAATTACACAAAGTATTTTGCACTATACATTTCTCAGTACATGTTTATGCTTTCCGTTCTACAGTGTTCGTGGTGTCGAATTAAAATTATTATTATACTTTAATTTAAACGTTTTGAAATGAAGAAAATGTTTAGCTTCAAATTGTGCGCAAAAAAAAGAATTCTATATAATTGAAGAATATAAGTTCAGTTACCATAAATTGCTTAAAAATGTAGTACAAAAATAAAAAAAATAAAAATATTGGATTGGCAAATGAATATAAAAATAAATCAGAAATAGTTTTATTTCTTAGAATTTGTTTTGGTCTACCATTTTTTACCTCCAGAAATGTTAAGTGACGTATTTGTCTATAAAATCATTCCAATCGTTCCAGAAAAATATTTAGAATTTACTGACTACATATTAGACAATTATATATCTGAAAATGCTCAATTTCCTCCAAGTATATGAGCATAATGTTCGTTTAGTGTACAACGAACAACAAACGCATGTGAAGCATTTAATTTAAAATAAAATTCATATTTTTATCAAGCCATCCAAATATACATCAATTTATAAATGTTTTAAAATCATTTCAAATTAAAACTTATGTGTTAATGAATAGCGTAAATACGTCCAAAAAATATTATAGAGAGAAAAAAATACCAAAAATTGACAATTTAAATAATGCAATAAAAAAATTCAAAGAAAAAACAAATTCTGCTTTTATATATTTAAAAAATGTTTCACTCAAATTTCAATCAACATTATTTTAAATAAGTAATTAATAGTTTTATATAGTTATATATATATATATTAATAGTTTATAATTTATCTAATTTTCTATTTTTTTAACAGTTGACAATTTTATCTGTTTTTATTAATAATAATAAATGTTTTTACACAATCTGTAAATAGTTTGTATAATTTTATTTATTTAAATGTGATTAATTACTTGTAATACTTATTTTATGCTATATTTATGACTTATTTGTGCTGGGACGCAACTTGGCTGTCTCAAAAGGTACTCTTGGACGCAAGTAGGTTATGACCTTTTTTAAACCTTTTTTAGTGGGACGCAAATTACCTACTGATAATAATCTCGGACGCAAGTAGCAAGCACCGGCCCCGAGGCCCTCTCGAGTACCCAGATGAAAGGGGCCCAAACAATTTTAAGCTGATACACATTTTTTTTCATACTAAAATTAGTAGTTTATAGACATAAATTGTATATACCTAATAATTTTATAATGCAATTGATAATTTGTAAAATAGTTAAAAAATGTATCGTTCTGCGAACGTAGAGAGCAGTTTTGTAAAGCATATTTTGTCAAAGAGACCCATATAAAATTTCAGCCCTGAGGCCCAATAGGTGCTTAATCCGGCCTTGTTCACATCGATAACTATGGTGGCGGTATAAATTATTCAAGCGAATCTGTTGTGTGTTGTCAAAAGTTATTATTTTAAAATATTTTTTTCACATTACAGGAATTTGTGCTGGAAGAGAACAAGTAACGAGTACTTCTAATATTATTACGTATTTATAGCTAATGCAGTAGTCGTAAAAAAATCGAAGGGTATACTTAATATGATCAAATATTTTTCGAGTCAAAGCGATGTCCGTCAAGTTGGCACCGGCACATTATGCTAGAGTTATGTAAATGGTATCAAAAATTTGCTACGAATTCGCTAGATTTTGCTAGGGCCCTTAAACTTTGATAATCCGCAAACAAACATGCCGGTGCTATCTTTATGGGCGCACCAGCACTATGTTCGATTTAAAAAAAAAAAATGTTAAATTAATCAGCTGAATTTGCTAGATTTTTCTTGGAGGCTTAAAACGGGATACATATTTTTAAATATTTCTATTTGGCTAGGAGCTTTCAAAAATATCTTTTTGACTGTGGATATTAATTTATCTACTTTTATCAATTTTGATCGTATGGTTTTTAGTATTCCGTACTAAACACGTTAAATAGATCATTTTGGAGAAAAATCATTTAATTTGTTGAAATATGTAGGAAAAAATGGAATTATTAAAAAATATGTAAAAACATGTACTTATGACAAAATATGTAAAATAAAATATAGTTCATTTCAATGGAAATCCTTTGAATCGAATTTATCACTTATCTAAATTAATTTATTGAATCACAGTAAAAATATGTATTTACATATAAATCCGAGTGCTAGTGATTAACGTATGCAGTTATTAAGTAGTTTATACTATGTGTAATAGAGAGTTTATTGACTACTCATAGTAATCACATATTAACATCGCATTTGTAACTTCACTCAACCTAGCGTTAAACATCCGTATTCCTCTCCAAGTAGTCATATTATAAGATATTTATAAGATATAAAATAATTGCAAATGGCATTATAATTTTCATATATTATTTTTATTATAGTAATGTTTTTTACTATATTATTCTATTTTATTTATATTAAGAAATAAAATTCAGTTAAATTTTAAGTATATTTTATTTCATAATATTCAATACATAAGCGCAAAAAAACGATTTATAAATTTATTATTGTTTATCATTCATCAAAAAATAAATAATAATGTGTTTAAGTCGTAAAAATTACGGTCTTGCGCTAGTGGCTGACGTCGACACGTAATCGACCGGCGTTAAGCGCGGTTACTCGGGCTACGCACGTCGATTACATCGAGTCACAGAACGTATTAATAATTCATAATTTCCTCATAAACTTTTCCATTAACTATTAACTAACTATTTAAGTTGAATTTAAAGAAATGAATAAGTAATAATTTAATTCAACACTAAATTGTAGGTACAGTAAAAAATATGTGATAAGAATAAAAAAAAAGCGAATGACTGTGGAGGTTCCTCTTAAATTTTTGGAATACCAAAAAAAATGTAATTAAAACAATCGTATTATTTACATAAGTTTATTGATTCATTTTTTTTTTTTAATGACACTGTTCCTGTAGAAAACGTAAAACATTGGTACATTGGTTTCTGAACGAGCGCTGACCGGCATTATTATAGTATCACAAAAATAATTGGACCGAAAGTATTTAGCTGTATTAAACGGTTTTTGACTAGCAATAATTTGTCACTCGTAAAAAAAACTATAATTATATAAATTTAAATAATATTTTTAAGTCGGACAGTGCACCATTGCAGGTACAAAATAATGGAACATCCCCTTTAGACGATAGGGGAATAAATCCAAAAATACCCTAATAAAATCTAGCAAATTCAGCTGATTAATTTGACATTTTTTTTTTTTTTGAAATCGGACAATGTGCCGGTGCTGAATCCAAATTTGGAACCTCCTCTTGGACGACAGGGGCCCTAGCAAATTCCAAAAATGCCCTAGCAAAATCTAGCAAATTCAAGTGAATAATTTGACATTTTTTTTTTTTTTTGAAATCGAACATAGTGCCGGTGCGCCAACAAAGATAGCACCGGTATATTTGTCTGCGGATTATCAAAGTTTAAGGGCCCTAGCGAAATCTAACAAATTCCTAGAAAATTTTGATACCATTTACATAACTCTAGCATAATGTGCCGGTGCCAACTTGACGGACATGTTAAAACGGGATAAAAATAAAAATATCTTTATCATTTAGCTTACAAATTTTTTTTTTTTCATTATTACAGTGGTCGCCGCTTATAGTGATCACATTCGTTCGAGAGAACTGTGATCATTATAACCGGAAATCACTATAAGTGGCGATTCGATAATATATTTTTTTTCACTAATTGAAAGCGTGCTCCTACTAGCCATTATACAGTATACAGCTACATACTAGACAAACAGTACACTAAACGACGGACGAAAACAAACTGGGTGTAAAGTGTAAAAATATCGGTGCTCGTAAGAACAAAAACGGTTTCAAACATGTACGAATGTACGATATGAAGTGTCGCTTATTACATGGGTTACATTAGATAAGATTAGCTCGATTAAAGTTCACGATTAAGATAATTGTCATTCGTAATCGTTTACTCAATACACAAAAAGAGCTGGTATTATTGTAAATTATATATTTCTGATTATTATTTTTGATCACAATAACCGAAAACCTGAACACTGTAAGTGACGAAAAATACACTTATAACGGCTGTTTGTTATGTTCCTGGCATTTTTGATCACTATAAGCGGCTGATTCTTATAACCAGTGAACACTATAAGCGACAACCACTGTATTAACAAAACTAAGTACTATTATTGTTTTAAAGATTAAAAAAATTTAATTAATTAATTGCACTTATTAATTTATTACTGTTACACTGAAATAATGATCTAAGAATATATATTATATACTCGTATTATTTGTAATATATAATATATATTATACATGTTATTGGTGTTATCTATCCCGATACACCAAATACAACCACTCCTTTCCTCGTCATCACTCGGCACTGTCCACCATGCAGTAATACAGTGTATACACGTCACACATTAGTTAAATATAATAAAAACAATAATTCATCAACAAATTAAAATTGATTATCGTTATTTTTTACTATTTTCTGAAAACTGGACATTTTAGTGTGTGAAGATTCCCTGAAAGACAACGGGACAAAGATACGAAAAACAGGATTGTACCGTTAATAATAAAAATATTATTATCAATTTCGTTTTTTAATAACTGTTTCAACATTAAAAATATTTTTATTTAATTAATTTAAATATGTAATGATATAACTTATAAGTATTTTTATTGAAAGATTTTACAAGTAATATTCAAATTTATTTTTTATTTAAATAATATTACGTAACTTTATGTTAACATTAAGTTTTCAGTATTGAATATTTATATGATTCACTGACAACCGCAACATTTAATATAAAAGTTGGTATACTCAATGCTCGACTTGGAAAAATTAAAGAAGGGGGACTCTATTTACTTTAAAAAAAAAAGAGCGTCCCCAAAACTTGTTAAGCGTTATAATTATAATATAATAATAGTAGGGGAACGCTTAAATTTCTGAAAATTAGTTGGGGTACTCCGTCCCCTTGCGATCCCCCTTAAGTCGAGCACTGGGTATACTGTGTACAGTATACATACATTACATGGTAACTATTTAGGTATATTACGTAAACACGACACGTGAGTGCACGACGTAAATATTTTATTTTTATATTAAATATAGAGAATACAAATTTTATGTCACTAAATTATCATTTCTTCAGGTAATTGTAATCATTTCATTATCTTACGGTGTGTTCGACGTAAATACGAAATGCGTCAGTTTTCGCATCGCATCCGCCATACATTATTGTGGCAAGCCATGCATATCCAACGTCAATTAGATGCGAGAGGAAAAGACAAAGATGGCTAGAGCTCCGGGGTACATACCTCTAAGATGGTTCGTCATCTCAACCTTTGATACAAAATTAATTTATATCTGGAACCGATCAGTCAAGGTACCTTACCGGCCCTGATTCGAAGAGATTGTTCGTTGCGTCCAATGAGTATTGTATTAAATGTATATAAAATTAATTAATACGTCCATCCATTTTTGCGTCTGAAAAATCGAATAATCCAACGCGATGTCAAGCATCAAACGCAAACATCATTTACATTTGACTGAACGTATCGTGATTGCAGGTTTGTTTTTAATTTCAAACGCAACGGATGTAACGGCGTGTCCCTACGTGGCGTCTGTTAAATACGTCCGATGCAATAATCCGTCGAGAAATAAAAACAAATATATGTAAATTAATACAACGATCCAAAGTATGCGGCAAATAAGATAATCCGTTAACGGACGGATCGGACGCAAATTTGAAAAACAAAATTATTTGTTTTTGCCATATGCGATAATGCGTTTGATATTAAATCAAACGTCGATCGAGTGCTAAAATATGATATTATATTATTATAAATTGAGTATCTACTAATGATGAGCATAACTGACTGACGATTGACGACGACGTACTACAAAAAATCTACTAATAATTATTTTTTTATCCTACCTATTAATTTATAATTATTTACATCTATATAATAAATAAACTATACAATAATTACAATATTTATTATATGATTAATATATTTAGGTACATATTAATATTAGGTATTAGTATTTATATGAATTTTTATTCTATAAAATATTCTTCAATTCTATTTAAAAAATTATATGAAAAAAAATTTACGATTTTATAAAAAAAGGTCTTTCAGAAATTTACCGCCAACTCAACAGTTAATGTGACAACTGAAACACTCTAGAGAAATGCCCCCCCCCCACGGGACGGACCAAAATCGAATGATTACTTATATAGTAGATTATCAGTTAGGATAACTGAAAATATATTATATTAAATAAATTAATAACTTAATTTACCTTATGGTTACAAGGAGCCTTTCTTCAACAGAAATTGGTTTTTGAAAATTTGTTAAACCATGACTATAATCAGGTGATATTTTTTCTAAGATGTAGTCGACTGTGTCTATAGACATCCTAGTATATGTTAAAAATAAACCAGCATTGCCATGTAATTTTCCATATAGATGATGTAATTCACCGAACATAAAGCGATCTTTATAGATCTGTTGTATAGGCAAACGTTTTTTTTTATATTTTAAAATTAAATACTTGAGGTACGTACTTTCAGATAAATTTAATAACGAAACCATTTCTGATTTTAAGAGTGACATTATAATAAATTATAATTTACTACGAGTAAAATTTACTAGAGTAATGTACTCTTAAATCGCCTGTGATGGACTGTCGAAAAATTGTTATTAAATCGTATACATCACAATATCGCATTGACGGACGCCACGTAGGACACGTTATATTATCGGATTATCGCATTAACGGATAAACGGATAAACGCATCGGACGCATCGCATTGACGGATACTACTTAGGACACGGCGTAATATATTTTATTGCTCTGATATATAATATGCAGAGGCGTTCTCAAGATTTTTTAATGAGAAGGGGGAATATGAAAATGTATTAAAAAGTGAGCTGTATTATATTTTTAATTATAATGTTAAAATTGACAAAATTATTTAAATTTTACAAACCTTTTTTTTTTAAAAAAAAAAAAGTAATATCCTGCTTGAATATTTTAATTTCATTTTCATATACTACAAATTGCAAAATGTCAAACATCAAAGTAATATTGACTCATTCAAATTGAACAGATATCACTTAATACGTTTTTCGCTAAGAACGATTAATAACAAAACAAAAAAAAAAATTAAAACAGGAAAATATTTTATCACTTATAAAATAAAAACATCAATAAAGATAAAGCTAGCTTTATCTAGATTTGTAATCGTGGTCTCTCATAATAGACCTATAAACATTTGTTGATATTTGCTTTTAGTCTGTCATTTATTTACTAATTTTGTGAAAAATGGTATCGAGTCAAAAAATATTTATTTGTTATACATATATATATATTGTATTATTACTAAATATCAGTTGAATATAAAAATAAAATTCATTAAAGACCATGGAGGAGATTCATCCCCCTTTTTTGCTGTGAGAACGCACACGATGAAATGCAATCTAAAATAATAATAAATGGTTCACTAAATAATTTAATTATAACAAGTCTATTACTCTTGGTTTTGGTAATAAAATAATAAAAAAATAGTATAAATATTAAAAATCATTAAATGGTTAATACTCGTAAATTAATATATAAATAAATAGTTTATACATAGAAATAAATAAATAAAAGCTTAGCCTGGAATATTATTATATTTATAAAGTACGACCGGTTTCGAATTAAAAATTCATCATCAGACATACAATAAATCATGTATCAATAGTTACGTGCGCTTTTTACCAAATATATACGTGATGCTTGCATGTTGATCGTTGTTTATTGCATGTGCCATATTGGCGTTAGCAACGGAGGCACGCATCTTGAATTCGTGCATACCAAATCGACATCGACGTTTAACTTGTCAATATAGCTTTCAATACTTAGTTTTTATAAACAAAATAATGGATTGCATTAAATATCAAGCCATTTATTTTTAACTAAATTATGTTACTTTTTTTAATTAACTTCTTACTTTTACAAGTTAACTAAAAAGAAAAAGTAATATTTAACTTATAACTTACATTTTTCTATAGTTAAACTTAACGTAAACGTAGCTTAATTTTTTTTTTATAGCATTCTTCTATTTTTCTCAGCTTAACGAGTAAAAAAAAAAAAAAAAATGATTAACTTACTCAGCCTTGTAACCTGCACTATAAAATCCTTAAGAATAGCTATTCTCTTGAAAATTAATTTCGTTGTTCTTATATTGTATTAATTGTACATATTAATAACGATAAATCTGATTGATGATTAATAAATAAGATCATAAAAAATAAAAAAAATAAAATATATTACAAATTTTGAATTCCGTTCTGCCACCATGCTTCGGACTTCTTAATAACACAAACACTATAATGACGAAATTAATACTTAAACAAAAAAGTCGTTATAGCAGCCTATATAAATTATTTAAATTATTATTAGTCCTTCATTATGTTATTGCCGTATAATTTATGTACATTTATATGCATTAATAAATTATTTGTTTTAAAATATTATTTTGAAGATTTTCCAAAGTTATGTTATATAAATACTTCTAATACGTAATATATTGAATGTTATATCTTAAATAAATGCATCTGAGGTCAGTACAATTCAGATATTTTAAATATATTTATATTAAAATTACAAGACATTAGCTTTTTATTTGATAAAAAACTATAGGTACCTAATTAAAATATTAAGAAAATAACAGCTTATCATTAAAAGTAGCAACAATCTAAAAAATCTAAAATTAATTTAAAACAATCTTAGTTGAAAAATGAAATGATTTATTCTATGTATCACGTATGAAAACTTAATTATATATTACTTAAACATCTAAATGATAATTTTGTATTATTTTTGACATCTATCAATGATATTCACAATATCATTCATGAATTATACAATTATTAAACAACATAAATATAAATATTTAGTATATTTCACTAACAATTAATTTGATGTATTTTTTTTGTTTTTTATACAAAATAAGAAATTTTTGTAAAAAAAACACAAAAAAATATTTAATCGGAAAGTAAATGTGAACAAATATAAATATAACAATTCTAATATTTTCCTGATGAATTTTTAAGTTATAAAAAATTCAATACAGTGTTATTTGTTTCCGAAAGATATATTTCGATATTATGTAATCACCAGGATTGGGATTTTATAGCATTTGCTTATTTTTTATGAGATGCTTCATAATTAGCATAGTAAGCTAAAAATGTGTTTTATAATACAGAGAACTCAAATTAAATATGTGATTTTGCATATTTTTGCAAATTTTGCAATTTTTTAGGTTTTAGTGCTATTTTTTTTATTTTTTAAGATTTTTTGGATTTTCACTTGATTAATCAAAATTAATCATATTTTAAGAATAATATTTTTGTAAACCTGTTTTCAGATTATTGTCAATCGAATTGTCAAAATAAATACATAAATTAAGTAAATAGACCGACAAGCGAATCTTTTGATGCGATGCGAGTGTACCGCGCCGTTATTGTTTGTATTTTTACCAGGGACCAGAACCGTAACCGGTACTAGAACCGGTTAACCTTTAAAATTTAGGAATCGTAACTGAAACCGAAATCTTTATTTCCAAAAATGAAAAACTGTAACCGTAACCTTAATTATAAAAGGGTTAATAATTAACTCTTAAATATTTAAGTCAGTTATTTAGACTAGTAAAACTATGGTAATGACTATTTTGTTTTCCCATTTGTCGGTTCAGAAAAATAGTCAAATCTTTTTATGTTTTATTATTTTGTGTTGTAAACTATAATAGTGCAATGTTTATAATAAGTAAATTTGTAATATTATTATTATTATTATTATTATTATTATTATTTTTGGATGTTTTTTAATATATTACAATTTACAATTAGTATATTATCTATCTTGTCTATTAAGTATTAAATATAATTAATGTTTATACAAATGTGTAGCTACAATAGTAGCCAGTATTAACTTTGATTCCTAATTAAAGTTAAATTTTAAATTAAAGATATTTATTTTATCAAATCATAATATTTCACAATATTACAAAATATTTTACAAATTCTTATTATGGTTTGGAATAAAATAACTTAACCTAACTCAAAAAAATATAATAGGCTGATTTAATATATTTATAATTATTTTCTTTTAACTATTCATAATACCTTCTATTTTCATAAAATGATATAATTTAAACAAGAATAAATAAATAATTTCATATTATTTTTTAATAAATCTCTAATAATCAGAATTAACCAAAATTAACCGGTTCTAGAATCCTTACTCATTTAAAAAACCGAAACCGTTTACGGAACCCTTAAAAAATTAATTGAACAACCAAAACCGAAACCGGAACCGAAAAAACCTAGAGGTTCCAGTCTCTGATTTTGTCCCTTCGTTTGAACGTGTTGTAACTTTGTTTTAAAATTGCTCTCTGAGTTAGGTTAGGTAGGTTAAATGCTTACACTTAATGTGTGCAGCTCATAGTTCGCACTGAATAGCAGAACAGGGTAGATCTCATTTCAGTGTAGTAGATAAATTGATAACAAGTGTTAAACAAGTATTTAAAAATTTCTAAGTTGGTTACAATTATTTAAAAATAAACTTCCTAGTGTCAACTTGCTACTAGAACCAATTATTACGCGATGAGGAACCTAAATTAATACAGCATATTATTGCTCGAAAATACAAACGGGTTAAGGAAAAGTTACTCAGAGATCCTAATAGAAGACCCATCATTAACCTTCTGGAGAGATCAAATCGTAGACACAAGCTGGGGAATGGAGCCAGCCGAACAGATACCAACAGACCATCAGTTAGAATGGAAGACATGGAGAACCCTCAACAGAATGAGAGTAGATGTAGGCAGATCAAAATACAACATGTCTAGATGGGGCTACCTTAACGATTCTAACACAAAACGTAGATGTGGTCAAGAACAGATAATAGCACACCTATTAGTATGCCCAAGGAGCCCCAACAAATGTTCGGAAGATGACCTAATACAGACAAATGAAACAGCGGTGGAAGTTGCTCGTTTTTTGGACAACAGAAGAAATTTAATAATTGTTTACTATTTATGTTTTATTTTATTTATATAATTGATGTTGACTAGTTATAAATTATTAATAATTTTTTAACTTTTAATTTTTAACTCTATGATGTATATTTTATAAATGTTAAGTGGTCTGACACGAAAAAAAAAAAAAAATTATTTTTATAAAATAATTTTTAATCCAAGTACATCGGTCCAGTGTTATAATACAACTACCGGCCCACCGAGAACCTTTCCAGTATCCCGGTGGGCCAATCCGCCATTGCAAGGTACATACATTCTTCAAAATAAAAAACTGCAATTTTGTAATGAATTAGTATATACATTTAGCAATTTATATTAAATTTATTAAATATAAATTGACTAAATATAAAACAATTAAACACAAATAAAATAATCTGATCAGTAGATAATTTTGCTAAGAAAACGCTTTATAAAACAATAGTTAAAGTATAAATTTAAATTTTAAAATTATTCAGCTAAAAAAGTACATGTTAAATGAGTGACATTTTAATAAAATTAAAAAAAAATAACAGATACTTAATAACTTAATTTTGTACCAGTAATATAATGATAAAATTGAGCAAGAGTAATAAGTTGTATTAATAATTTTGATTACAAAAAATCATTAATAATACTCGGTAACAAATATTATAATTGTACTATAAATTAATAATTAATAATCACAATTGTATTACCAAATTTAATAATCTGTACATAATAATTTTTACAGTTAACTGTGATTAAACATTCTTTTTTTTTAAAAAAAAAAATAATTTCTAATGTAGAAATATCAAATACAGCAAAAGTTAATTCTATTAACAGCAAATGTTCATTGATTCAAAATATTATTTTAATGTCTTGATAAATAGTTGTACATATTTGAATATTCAATCTGTCTAGGTACTTTTATTTATCTACACTAAAAATTTATAAAACTATGATAATAATATTAGTAAAAATTATTAATTAAAACTCACATGTGATCATGTTTTAAATCCATAAAGTATTATGAACTAATGATAGAATGATTAAATATTTGGAAAATGAAATGACTAGACTAGATAATAATATATTTATCATTAAAATGGCAGCTTTATTAGGTTATATTTATTTAACCTTTAGTATGGATAAGTCATATGGTTTCTTTATTAACAAATATTTGATTCTGAGTAAATATTTATAAATGAGACTATGTAGTTGATCTGGCTGCCGTAAATGTAGCAGTAGCTGTTGCAACTGATCGCCAAATATGATAGCAAATAGCTTTTCCAACTGATTCAACTAGTGAATTAATCTCTTCAGAACCATTTAAATTTCTCCTGAATACAATATTAATTAAAGAATCTGACGAGGCAACAATATTTTCACTTAAATCTATTCCATTATCAATTATTATGAATGCATTAAACTCAACATTATCAGACAGATTTGGTAAAACTACTAGATATTGATGTTCTGTTTTATTACTGTTATAAATATGACAGCGAGGTGAATGTGTAGAGGACGTTGATATTGGTGTATGACCAATAATTAATTTATGTATTGAAGTAAACCATTGAGGTCCTTTACAAAGTTCTTCTATTAAAGGGCCCAATTTTTTGTCGTATTCGGACAATGGTTTCACAAGTCCAGATTTATTTACTAGTTCTTCTAATTCATCAAATGTAACACCTGTGGATCCAAGTTTCTAAAAAAAAGTTAATACATTTGATTATAAAGTTTAATAAGAATCAACAATTTAATTCTAAATTAATATATACCTGTTGATCTATCGGTAAGCTAAATGTTTGCCATAATAAATGAATTCGACAACGGTTGGCTGCTGTATCTACGGTATGTGCCACTAATTCTGCTGCTTTTTTTTCATAAAATTTTATCAAATTAGTTTTCTTAATCATTTGCTGATGATGATCATTCAAATCATTGATACGGCCATGATTTTTTTTTAATTTCTTCTTTAAATTTGATGATTGAGTAGGAGTTTGAGACCAATTAGTAGTATTATTTTCATCTAAACTACCCCAACAAGTAGAAGATCCTTCGACATTACCCAAGCTATCACTAGGTACACTAGAAGATAATAGGTTAATAGTTTGGTCAATTCCTTGAACTGATGGACGGATAGGCGTGCTGTGTCTTTGTTGCAAATTACAGTTCATTATTTCTTTTCTAGCAAACATAAGTTAAATATATATTTAACAAACTATATGAAATAGGATAAATAAGCATAGCATATTTGGTATAAAAAAAAAATTTAAAAAAACCAAAAAAAGTAATTTTGTGAATGAAAGACAGTATCTAAGTACTAATGTATCTAATGCTTAAAGCTCAATAAATTTGGCAATATTATTTTAACAATATAATATATCTTTTATTATTTTATTATCGGTGATGATCATTTTATTGAATATAATAAAGTAATTTTGTTAAAATATTCATATCAAAAAAGTAGTGCCAAGTTTTTAGTTTTTTATTCTCTGTATTTCATTCTCACTTTAAATTACTTTTATATATTTACAAACGATGAGATTAACATAATAAAATTTAAGGTTTTAGCCTTATTGGCTTTATTATAAAAAATATTTAAAAAAAATTCTATGAATATGAGATATATAATGTTATATACATTATACATATGGTCTAGCAATGAATAAAAATAAAATTAGAACTTCAAAATCTCAAATACTTAATCATATTAAAATATAATATACATAATATGCTAGTATACAAAGACTTACTTCTCCAATTTATCATTTTCATTATTTGTCAACAACACGTAATATGATAAATTAATTTCATTACTAGTGTCTAATAATAACTTTTTTACTGACGATAATGTCATAACCAGTGTTGCGTCATAAAGACCACATACTTCATATTGACTATCAATATACAGGTCATTTGATTCTGCTCCTGATTTATAGCATTTTGAATTCATTTGCAATTCTTGCCTTCGTTGTATATCACTACCAGCCATATGATGAACAAGAATAAAATCCTACAATTTATAATATTATTATTTTCATAATAAAATATTATGTTATTTATTTAATTTGAAAAAAAACTAATGTTCTAAATTATTAAATCATTATTACAGTTAAATCGTTGCCTGAAGAATTTTGATTCACTAAAAATTGATTATCATCATCATCATCATCATCATCATCAAATAGTGATGCTCCATCATCACCATCTACTAATGAACTGTCACAAATTTTTATAACAGCCATTCCATCACAATCTTCAGAACAATTTTCTAATAAATATTCATACAGTTGGAGGCCAGTAACAGATATTTGAGTGCGTTTGATAATACCTAAGGATTAAAATATTATGATTCCATTTATATAAATGTAAAATGCTTTAAATAATACCGGCTAAAACTAAACAACTGGAATATAAAGGCGGTAAAAGATAATACTTCAAAAAATCATCAAGAAATCCAGCAATAGCATTTTTTTTACTACTATTTCCTGATTTATTTCCACTATTTTGTACAGAGCTTCTCTGTTCTAAGAGCAATGAAAGATCACGTCCATAATTATTTCTTTTGCCAGTTTTTTGTTTTTGAACTAATTTACTAAGTCTGTCAGATAGTACACGTACATGAAAATCATAAGTAAATGAATGCAAATGCATATTCTGTATAATGTTTTCTGACTGATCCAAGAGTGAAAACTAAATAAATAACCAGAGAAGTAAAACATTAATAATGTTAGTAAATTTTTTTTAATATTAAATTAATAAGTGATTAATCAATAACCAAGTATTCTATACCTGTGATTTATGTTTATCTTCATAATATTCAAGTTGGTTTGTAATCCTCGCTCTTTCAACACCACAAAGTTTAACATAATAATATGGTTGACACACGCCAGTTTCTATAAGCAGTAATCCACCAGTAGCTCCGGGTACAGATTTTTTATAGTAACAAGTAGTGGATTTAGTGGAATCTGTTTCCATTGTTACACTAAAATATAATGTGCAAGTTAATTATTTAAATCCATTAAAGTTATTTAATAAAATTTATCTTACCCTTCATTAAAAGCACGTGGTTTGCTAGCTTGAATTACTTGGAAACCGCTAAAGAGACTATTTGTCTCAATGTAATGAGCATAAGCATTAGTCAATCGTATACATAATCGTTTATGCCATTGTGGTGGAGGTGGAGAAGTTAAATTTCTTGTTTTAGCTGCATCAACTAAATGTTCTCGTGTAGCAGCCGATTCTAAACGCCATCTAATAAAGTAAATTAAAACAGATATGAAGATCATTATAAATAATTATTGATTTTTTTTTTTTTTATTACCTAGGCAGAAACAGCAATGGTGTAAGACAATAATGAAGTAATCGGCTATGGTGATAAAATGCTCGAAAAGCTTCTTTTGTAATAGTTGCATCTTCTTGAATCCACATATCATATAACATTTTTTGATGTATTTCTGAAAAAATAAGTAACTGTTTACAGTTTGAAAAAAGTAGTTGTAAAAATATACCTATATAAATTTTAAGTAATTACTAAACTGTAGTTCAGTAAATATTGATGTATCTCAATATTTATAATTTATTTTTGTGTAATTAATAATAATTTATATTAATTTCATATTGTATACATTTCAAAAATACAAATTTAGACTGTTTAAGTACAACTAATGAGTCCAAAAGCACGCCCTCTGTAATTACAATAATGTTCGATTACTCTTTAATCATCTAGTATATCATCCACTTAGAGCTGTAAAGAATACTTTTAAAAAGTCTTTGGAATACTTTTCAATTAAGTAATTAGGCCACGATAAACTAAAATTATGCAGAGAAATAGTCGAAAGAGATGCATTATACGGTTCTTAATCACTTTCATCATCAGTATTTTAGCTAGAATTACTCATATTAAAACTTGAAGTAATTTTAGTAGCCAGTAGCTTATAAAAACAACTACACAAGTCTTTAAATTAATAAATAAAAACGATGTAGGCTTGTAGATACTTAGCGATTTGTGGGAAAATCATTGTTATTCTCGTTATCCCGTATAACCAGGCAGATATCGTATCTGATTTTAACAGTTACCTATCCAATAATACAAAAGGAAATTTTGTTATTGAATATCTATTTTCAGAAACCTGATTTTCACAAACCTCCGGGCTTTGATTATAATAGGCAATATTTTTCTTACCAAATATTTTGAATAAAAATAAAATATTCGAAAAAAAAACAAATTATTCAATACAAATAAGTATTTAATAGAAAAAAAGTATTTAAAATACCATTGAAAATACTTCGTTCTGAAAGTATTTAAAAAATTATTCAATACTTAAAAAAGTATTTGAATACTTTTATTCAAATATTTTTATTACTCAAATACCTTATAGCACTGCATCCACTTCACATTTAGTAATAGATAAAAAAAATCTTAAATTATAATGCAAAAAAATATACCGAAACAAAAATTTATTTTACAATGTTAAATTTAAGTCAGTGTGACTTTTACATGTAATAAATATAATGGCTTACATTTTTTAACAATAAATTATTGTAGACTTGTGTATTTTATAATTTATTTTTGTAGGATTCTTATTAATTGTATGAATTAATATTAAATTGTGATCGACCTACATTTATATTCTTGAATTTAACTTTAATTCTTTAATTTAAAGTTTGAATCATCTATTCATATTTTAAATAGTATAAATATGTATTGCTCTATCTTACCTATGCGACGTTGTTGTTTACTATTTCTCACCAACTGTTCAATATATAAATCATGAGCATCTTTTCCAAATTGAATTGATTTTGTTTTTTTATCATCAGTCTCATTATTATCTATAGGTTTTGTACGGTTATTTGGTAGTCTAGTGTTTTTCTCAAAAGTAACTTTATTGTTCCTAACTGTATCATGATCTCCAACAGCAGAAACATAACTCTTAAAATCCAATAATAGATCAATATTATTATTCATTCTTGAAGAATGGCTATGAACTCGGGTACCACCAAATTGACCATATGATTGAGTTGTTTTAAGTCCCATCATTTGATAAATAGATGATGTGAAAACAGTTTGTCGCCACTCTAACCAGCGACTTAAACGGTGAATGGCAATAGATTGATCATTATCATTATGACAGTTATATGATAATGTATGAATTGATTGACCAGACACACTCAACATTAATAATTTAGAAATTTTATTATTGAAAAGGTTCTTGTTTTGTTGTTTTTGATATATTTTATTATCAACCATGACATTTTTTTTAATATGATCAGTTGTATTATAACTTGAACTTATTGTCTGATCATTGTTAGTTGAAATATTAGTGTTTTCTAAAAAAATATAAATCATTAAACAAATTTTTATTTTTGGCTAAAATTAAATTAGTTATAACATATACTTGATGACTGTGTTAACTTAAAATATTTATTATAGTTAAATTCCTTTATATAAATAACTAACTAATATTTACCTTCTTCACTATTTGTGTTTTCTTCATCCTCTGGTACAATAAAACCATTATCTGTATCTGAATCACTTAATTCGTTATCTTTATTTCGATTTTGATTATGTTGTTTCCGTTTTTGTTTAATTCTTTTTAAAGAAATTACAGATGCAATTATTAAAACACAAGCAGCTGCAGGTGGAAATATGATTGTATTAGTGTCTGTTATTTGCCATTCGTAAAACACTAAGTTATTCATTAAATCATTATTCGGTTTTGGTTCCAGTTGCAGTGGATCAGTAGACCCAATTATTATATTGCTGCTGATGTCACCAGTTCGAGATTGACCATATTGTGTACGAGGAATGTAGAAGTAGCGAATTGATATAGTTAAATTATTTGATGTTGATGTTCCAAACCAAGATAAATGGGTTTTTAGTTCTCTAAGCACATGATTTATATGTATTCTATAATAAAAATTAAATTATGATATTAAATCTAAAAATAGGTTGTCAAATAATAAGTTGTTTTGTTTTTTATAACAAAATAAGAGAAAATAAAATTTAAGCAAAGTGTAAATCACATATTTATATGCATATAGTTAAATTATAAATAGTTTATGTAATTATTAAACATACCGACAGTATATTTGAGAATGGTGAGCCAGTGGAACTGATATGCGTGCTCCAAAAGCTATCCATTTGGATAAATATTGGATACATAATGGGTTAACATACGATTTAGAAGGTTGTTCAATTATAATGGGCTGTTCCCAAAGAAAACGTTCAATGTAAATGTCCCATAAAGAGTTAGTAACAGCTGAGGTCAATTTAATTTGAAGAGCTTCCATGTTGACCCGACCACGACGCCACACAAACAATTTAACTATAAATAACAATTATATCAATGCGTTACAGATATATAAAAAAAATGCACTTAATATTTTCGTATTATTTAATATTAATTATATTTATGCATGTAATTGGGTCTATACTCATTTAATTTTAAATAAATAAATAATAATGAAAACTAACTGTAGCCACTGTGGTCAACAACCGATTTCAAATCATCATCTATACGAGTTGCTTGTATTCGTCTTTTAAATAAGTCAAGGCTAATAGGATAATCATATGAAGTATCCATTGAATTATTATCTTTGTTCGAATAAATATCGAACAATACACATGCTAAACCTCGATTACCACTTGTGACACGAATTCCACCTGTACCACTTGTTCCAGCACTTGGTTGATTGTACATAAAAAACGATCGGATGATAGGTTTTTCTTGATTATCTGATGTATCATATACATAGTTAAATCTATGATGACGACTAGCATATTTTGGTGGGTATAACAATAATGCTGCAGCATTACGTTTCAAATTGTGATTAAACAATTTATTGATTTTTGTTTCAGCTGGCAATGATAACTAATAAAAAATTTAAAAAAAAAAGGGTAGGTATATTCAAACATAAAATAGTGCATTGAAATTAATTACTTTCATAGTGTAATCAGGAGGACCATCATATGGTTGTACATATCGAACATCATCTGGATATAGTCTACAAACTGGATTTCTATACAACATAGTTGTCAATACCTCTAATACGGCATCATTTAATCGATTTTGTAATACTTCAACCAAGTCAATACGAATTTCGGTGCCTATTATAATTAAAAATTAAATTCAATATATTTTACATACCAATGCAAACAATAATATTCAACTTACCAGCAGGTGATATACCATGAACTTTTAATGTTACATCTTCAACATCTCTTGAATCTGTATCGCCCCAATAACCTCCTAAAGAACGTGTCCCAGGAGTCTGAATGGATTTACTGTCTGAATACTAAAATTTAATAATCTAATATAATAGGGTAATTATATAAAAACATGTTTATTTTGTTCTTCCTTGACTAGAGGTAAACTCGAGTTAAACTATTCAAATTTTAATATTATTATAGTTTTTTCTACATTTTTCGATCGTTTACAATTCTTTAACACTTTATAGGGACATAGCATTCTTCATTTCTCTCCCAATTATTCTCAACATTCTCTTCTCCAAACTTTTTCTTTTTTCCTACTTTTATTTCTTATTTTTAAACATTTTTAGACATATTATACATAAGTGAAATTAAGTAAAAATGTACAAACATTAAATTCTTCAGAATATTTGCGATAGAAGTTTAAATTATTGGAAGGAACTACTAATGATGAAACTGTAGCTGTTGTTGAAGTAGCTGACGAACATCTTGAAATAGAATCTTCGTCATCTGAATCATATTGATATGAGTCCCCTAAGTTATTTTTTTGTTGTTGTTGACTAGAATTTTCATACAGTCTGAAAAAAAAATATAGTAATAAACATTGATACATAAAATATTTTTAAAAATTTACCTTAAATAAAATACAGAACCAGTTGATTCCTTATAGACAAACATATTGCGTCGATTTCGAACAGAAAACTTATCAAGTACAGTATGTAAAACTTGTGTACCAAGTAAAAGCATAGAAATAGAGTGTTGAAGCCTGGGATGAAGTGAAAATCGGGTAGACCACACAACAGGACATCTAAATTGGCCATTAGAAAAATGCTTAGTTATTTTTGGTATTTCTCTATTACCATTATCATCTATAAAACATCAAAAATAATAGAAAAAACTTTATTATGATTGTCATAAAACAAAGTTATTTGAAAATTTCAATATAAAAAAAATAATATAAGTCAGTGAAAACAAGAAGTATAATACATTATTATTATTGTTAAACATATATACCATCATCTGAATGAACTACTTCTTCATTAACAGACTCTAATAATGAATCACAAATTCTTGTATCATGTAAACGACAAAGTAAAAGAGTTTGATTAACTATTATAGCAGCTTGACGTATATTTTGTCCAACAATTTCCTTTACTGCAGAATATCTTCCTTGAATATCTAATTCCGTAAACCTGAAAATAAAATGTACATATGACAACAAGAAATAAATAAATCAATTAGAAAGTCATTTTACCGGCAATGGAAGTACAAGTTTACTGTTATTGTGTTGACTAAGTAGTTATTTTCAGATTTATTTTCTTTTTGGCACTGCTGTTCACCTTGAATTTTTAGTATTATCCAAAAATTTGGCAGCATTGATTGACTATTTTTTGTATTGGTTGATAAAGGTTTTGAATCACAATCATCAGTAACTCCAGTATTCTTATTGTCCGAAGTCATACTATCAGGATTAAGGTGCATATTTTTTTCCACAACATAAAATGTATTGTTTGTAGATTTTTCAAGAGTATAAAATCCACAATCATCTTCATTATCTTCATTGTATATTATATTCATTTGATCAAGTTTCTAAATCGTACAAAACTGAATATTAATATTGTTTATTAATATCAAAGTTATTTATTTAATATATATAAAATATTCAGTTTAAAAGAGAAAAATGTATGGACAAATTATTTCCATATTATATTTTATTAATATATTCGGATTCTTGATGAAACAGAAAACATAAGAAAACAAATAATTATCTACAAGTGTATAATATATACGTATAGATAGCAATATTAAGAAAGCACTATCTTGTAAGTTCAAACACTAAAATATATACATATATATTACAAATAGTTATATTTTACTAGTAATTTCTCCTCAAATTCAGTATATAAAACAATAATAAAATAATATATCTCAATATTTAATTCATATTTACATTAACAATCTTGAGGTTATCAATATTTATTTTAATAACAAAATTAAGAATATTATAAATTATAAATTTAAATTCACAATACACAGCATAACTGCAGTAAAACAATAATACATAAAATATTAAAGAAAGTTAAAAAAAAAAATTAAATTAAATTAAATTAAAAAGATTTAGTGAATTTTAAAATTATAACATACCTGTAAAAATATTGAAATACTATTATACTTAGAAGGGCCTGGTACAACGATATGAACAGGTATTTGTTGATGTTCGTTTGATGAAGTATACGGAGAATTTAAGACATGATCAATGACTTTTTCTAACGTATTTGGTGTTACAATTGGATCCTTTAAAAGACCAGCTGCCATTTCATCGCGCATACACCATTCTACCTAAAAAAAAATATAACATAATTAAACAATGTTATTATTTGAAATAATTGTGTATACCTCAGCTACAAAAGCGGCTAATCCTTGTGCATGCCGAAGAGGTAAACAGGAACTCAAATAAATAAATGGATTTTCATAATCTTCAGGTTGTTTCCTGTGAATGAAAATTGTTTTTATAGAAACTATAATATTTATTTTGTAGTTATACTGACATTGATTGGGTAGTTGAATTGTTAATAATTGGAAAATGTAGTTGCTCTGAACTATTCTTTTTATTAAATATATCATCGTTTCCATCTTCATTGACATCATCATCATCATCATAATCATTATTTGGTAACATTAAACAATACACATCTAATGATACTTTCAAATTAGCAAGATCTATGGTTCTAGTGGATTGACTGTCATCATCTTGATTCATTAACTCAACTATATTCAAATAAATAAAATAAATTATTAAATAATAATAAATAAAGTAATAAATTAAATAAAAAAAAATTGAGCAAAGTTTATTTTACAGTTAAATCTACCTCCTAAAAAGTTTTTTAATGAACCTAGCTCACACAGTATATTGTAAATCCTCACCAAACAATGTACGTTAATGATTCCAACATTATAAGAGTTATACTCTAAATTACTTACGTATACAAGTAGGTAACGAACGTACCGAATGACTTTTTGTCATTGTGTTCGTTTTAACAGTACATACTAAATGTACAAATAAGGGGAATATGTCTTGTTCATCTATTTCGTGTATATCGAAATGTGTTTTATTTAAATTTTCTCCCATTAACATATTGTTCAGAAATTTTTTTCCATTACTAGATAATCTGGTTCTTGTGTAATAATTTTCTTCATGATCTTCACAATCCTGAAAATAATTTGAAATTTATTAAACTATAGATTAATGAACATATAGCTATAAATATAAACAAAGTAACTCACTAAATAGTCCACAACATCATAGAAATAATAATCAGGATGACTGGCAACAGGTCGCAGCATGTGACGATCTAGTGTTGATGAGAATGTTGTGTGTATCATATCATGATGAGATTTTAAAGTTTTATTATCAGCAGGGCAAATAGAACAACTACTGGCATTTTTTTTAAAATGATCGCACACAACCTATTAATACAAATAACATATATGTTATTAGTATGTTGTCTATAATCATGATTATTAACTATTAGATAAATGTTCCAGTTAAAGTATTAAATCAAATATTTATGATATATATTCACAAATAACTAGGTAATTTATGAAATAACTAAAAAATGTAAGTAATGTATATAATTTATATTTTAATTAGTTATTTTATACATTTTCGAGGTTTACTTCGTTAATATGTCATATTGTACAAAATATGTACAATATCGTTATTTTACTTACTTCAAATGAAAGTATTACATTATAATCTGCGTCAACTGCGCGGTTACTGAGGAAGTGTAAAAAAATTTGTAACATTTTTTTGGTAAAAGTGCACTTTTACCAAAATATGTGATAAAAAGTGTGTTTGCAGAAAAAAGTTAATATTGAGCAACTTTAAATTCCACAATAGCTTTGCGTGTACAAATAAAATATAATACATTTTAAATTTAAATTTATTCTATATTTTAACGAAAATCAAACTAAAATTGTATAAAATAAAATTTATTTATTACAAGAATATTTAATAATCTATGAAATAACTAGTTAAAGTAAAAATTTTCATAAATAATTTCAAACTTTAACTAACACCTAGAGATAATTTATGAAATACCTAGTTATTTTATAAAATAATGGAATTATTTAACTGCTTTAACTGGAACAGATATAACTTTAGTATTTATTTAAAACATTAAAATCAATAGTGGTAGAAATATTAATTTAATTTAATAAATTGATATAAGTAATTTTTTGATTAAAAAATAATTATAGCTTTTACATTTCCTAAGTCAATAATGATAATCAAATTTTATCGATTAATTTATCTTATAATTACATTAAGACTACATTTATTATTTTTATTAAAAATAAATGTAATATTTCAATAAAAAATTAATATATTATTTTGCACATCAAGTTAAAATATTAAAAAGCAATTTTATACATAGTTTTAATATTTTATAAAATGTTGGTGGTTTAACAATTTAATTTCTTAAGTTTTGAGGTTATAATTATTTCTTTTCATTTATAGTAAAATGGTATTATTTAATAAGATTCATTTTAGTTATTGAAAAGAAGGATTATCATCAAAATTATCTTTCAATAAATTCCTAACCCAATTTTTTTCTGTTAATTAAAAGAAATAATCATTAAGTTAAAAACATTAAGAACTTGAATTGTCAAAATGTTCAAGAATTTAAATCATAATGGATAAATATAACAAAATAGATACTTTTAAATTTTATAAAATGTACAATAAATACCAATCATTAAATATGAATACTAACAATATAAGTAAATTATGGTACATTGAAACATTACAAGATACTCAAATATTAAATTATATTAATTACTATTTACAATATTAATACATTTATTGAACATAATATAAATCCATTTTTTCCAATAGTTAAAAATATAACTTAAATGTATCAAACAACTACTTAATAAATATTATTTACCTTAAGGTAATCAGTTATGTCGAACGTAATGAGACGATGTTGGCATCGATCTACTGCACGCTGAATATCTAAATACTGAACATTTAATCCCAGATGTAAAGCATGAAACACAGTAGTTACTAAGCTTCGATCATAGACAATTTGAATTTTATATAAATATTTGTCTAATAACATTGGATCTACTACAAAATGAATATTTTATTAAAAAATAAATGTATATACACGTTTATTCGAATAGGTACCTGGTTCATCAAAAACAATTTTTTTTCTACTCGAAATTAATACATTTTCCTCTTCATCTTCATCACTATTTGTTGTTGTACTACTACAAGAACTACTATTATCAATGTATTCATTAATAATGGTTTGATCAAATGTATTACTGTCGGACATCAGTACATTTTCTATATCTTCTTGTCGACAGTCATAAACTTCAACAAACATATTTGTTGGATAATCCTGTAAATCTTCATCAACACCAGTTTGGAAACAGTCCTGAGTATCTTTAATATCAGGAGTACAAAAATTACGTTCATGTCTAAGTTGAGCCCAAGGCAAATCATTAGTGTCTTTATAATATGGTTTAGATCCCACAGACATTGTTCTATAGTAATGTATAGAATGTTCTTGAAGCTGTGCACTCAATGATGATACTGATTGGCCATTAGTCTTAGTATAATGCCATGTATTAGCTCTTGAACGACCTAATGGTTGGAGGTTATCCTGAGAAGAGCTTTCAATAGTACTACATTTATCTTCAACTAACGAAGGAGCAACAGTTAAAATTAAACGGCTGTCGTTAATTCGTTTTACGAAACACTGACCAATATCTTGATCATTCACTTTTGATACCATCTGTTTCATATTTATTGATGTATTTGAGTCACTAACATCAAAAGATCGATGATTGATTGTCCGTAATCGAAAATAAAATGAACGCTCTAACATATAGTTCAATTTTTTTTCATTTCTTATAGTATTTAAATCGGCTAAAAAATATATATTTATGTTCAATAAGTAATTAATAATTATAAAAAAATTTATGAAAATTAATAAAAATTTGTATTCAATAAATTAAATTAAATTATATTCATACCAGGATCAGTATCTTCAGACGCAGTAAAAAGACTAAAAGTCAAAGAAGAATAATGTCTGCATTTTGGCAGTAAATTTAATAAACTAAATGTAAATGGTGATTTATATATGCGACCATCATCAATAATAATTGTTTTATTCTGTTGTTGGTTTTGATTAAAATAATCAAAATCTAGATTATTAACTGAAATATTTGGGTCCATGCACATTTGATGCATATGTTGAAATGTATATAGCGATCCAATACAATCGGAATCAACTTGACATATCTAAAAATTAAAACATATACTTATACATTTTAAATAATATAATGAATAATACAATAAATATGAATTTTGACAAGTATTTTAAAATATAGTACCAACCAATTTTATTTTTTTTCAACTTAAAATTTTTAAATAGACTTAATAATATTTATACTTATATACATAATTAATTCTTAAGATAAGTTTTTGATTGAAAACTTGTTTTCTTCATATTATTAGATTGGGTACATAATTAAGAAATATTTTGGTACATACCTATTATGAATACTTAAATCATTTAAATATATAATATAATGTAGTATAAATTATATTTTATTATAATTTAAAAAACTGAACCATTTATAAATAAATTGCATTATATTAAAAAGTCCTTTTTTCTCCAGATTTAGTTAAAATTAAAATATAACTAAATTAGGATAAAATTAAATTAATAGTTGTAAGAATTAAAAGTATTAAAAATTAACATAAAATACTTCCACTATGAAACTAAAAATTAAATAAATAGTATACAAATGCTTAGGTTTTCTAAGTGTTTTAATTTTTTCAAAATACATTTTACATGTTTACTCTTTACTATCCATATATAATTGTTCGTTTATAAATATATTGAATTGTTTATTAATGAGACTGGGATTTCGATGCATTTTGCATTGTTTCCAAAGCTAACTGTGCGATGCTCGTTTTGTCATAAATTTGTTTTATGTACTTTTGAATGAGAATAATGAAAGAATAAGAAGAAGAATAAGAAAGTTTATTTTGAATTTTTTGGAATTCTTTAGTTTTTTAGATAATTTTCTTAATGTTTTAGGGCATTTTAGAGTTTTTGGAGCATTTTTTGAGTGTTAGGAAACAAAATATGAATTAGAAATTTTATTTTAAGATTTTTACACCAACATGATCTTTATATAAATATAACAGATTATAAGTAGGTACTCAGAACTCGTAGTATATAATCAGACAATTGTTGAAATGTATCAAAACTTGGATAACGAGTGTAAAACGATGTGTTTTTTTTTTCAGATTAAACGAAATACAAGTCTATGATACATTATGTACAACTTTTTTTTTAAATTTGTACTAATACTATACTAAACATACACTTGTAATATATTTTTTGAATACATTTAATGTCATTTTTATAATGCATTTTATAAGATGTTCCGTCTTTTAACTTTTTTTTATAGTTCATATAGGTAATTTTATTTTTACTTAATGTATAAAAAATAAAAATTTGAGTGCATTTTAAGTGCATTATTTGAAATTTTTAGGTCATAAAAGTATATTTTTTAGGGAATTTTTTGGGGTTTTTTAGGGCATAAAAATCCCAACCCTATTATTTAATTACAAAAACATTAAACATTGAATTATTTTCTCTAATATCTTAAAAAGATAATCTCAATTACATGGTAAAGAGTGTATTATAAACTTTATTTAAAGTTTATGGATACAAGTTGCTTCTCTGCACATATAGACAAAAATGTTAATAGTAGGATTAGGGCCATAAGAAAATGAAAAACAATCATTATTGACATCACTAAAAAAAACTATTACAATTAGGAATTGATAAAATAAAACCAACTAATCAATTATTAAATTTATTTATACTGTTTTACTAATTAATAATAAAATATTATTCTTATACAATAAAGTAGAGCGCAATTTTTGTAGAAGTGTGAATAAACGGGTTACAACTCATTAGCGCACAATTTACGAACTATAGAAACCTTTTTTTCCGATAAATTTAACTACGTACATTACCTGCGTACCTCTCTACATTTTCGAATTGGTCATTACTGATGGTGAAAACATAAAGGTCTATTTCAACACATTCTATACGGGTTGACCGGGCGGTAACCGGGGAAAATAATTTGAACCACGACAATATTTCTTCACCGGCCCGGTATAGAATTGAATAATCGTAAATAAACAACCGAGGAAAATTTCAAGGAAAGGTATTTACGTTTTCAAATTTGAATTTGCACTAACAATAATTATTTGGCTACATTTTGTATTGATCAATAAAAGGTGATTAGTTGTTCGTGATTAGTAGCAAAATGTAGTAGCAAATATCAACGAATTCACTCCAATAATAGTCGTGTATAAATGATTAACGTATTATTTTATTTTATATCATAAGTAAAAATAGTACAATTAATTTTTAATACATTATAGGCATATTAAAATATTTACTGACTGTTTAAACTATAACTATTAATTTCAATTTTAAACAAAGTTTTTTGTAGTAAATATCAAGAAATTTTAGTTCAATGTAAAAATCAGTAGTTACCTACTTGTAAAAAAAAAGAATTGCAATTGCAATTAAATTATTTTGGTTAGTCGTTATTCTCAACGTACATATACTTCAAGTTCCCGATTGTAACTGATAATGTTTGATCAATATTTGAAATGATAAATATATCGTTAAAACAAAAATCCGTCATGTGTAAATGTAAGTGTCCAGATAAGTTTTTAAATCCAAACATTGAATTTAACTCTTACCTAGTATTTACTACCATTGATTAAATATTTAATCAATGTTACTATTTAGTCTAATATTTATGGTTTATAAGATATATAGGTTTTAATAAGTATTAAAAATTGTAATTCATCCGTTCAGGACAAAAGGCGATACATTATTTTCAATTTAAATGTGTTACCGGCTTCCTATTTTAATTTTTAAACATTTTTGATCATCTTTAGATGTACTTTGTGTGGTTACTGGTTATTTTTCAAATTGAGTGTTTGGTTTTCAATAAGAAATTTTATGTACTTTCTGTTTGATTTAGTTTGTTTTTATTAAATTTCAGTGGCATAATTTGATAATGTTTAGGGAGGGGTGGATCATATTTTTGTACATGAACAATTATTACTCGCAAAAATTTTTATTATATAGTAATTAGTTAAATATAATGTTCTAGGACTAAAAATATATTTCAGACAGAACCAAATTTTTTTAATAGTTTGGAATTATTTTCAAGCCAGGCCTGGGCTTTTTTTTTAAAAAATATTTTGGACTGAACCGGACCGGGCTTTTTTTTATTAAAAAATATTTTGGACCTGCTCGGACCAGGCTTATAAAAAATATCTTTAGACCAGAATGGACTTTTTAAGAGCTTTTAATGATTTTCGGCCCGGACTTGAGCTTTTTTTCACAAACATTTTTTGGACCGGTCAGACCCGGCTGGGCCGTAAATTTATGGCCCTTGCAGGTTTTTAGTAAATAGAAGCGCCTGTTTTGAACCCGATCTGCCCGATCGATATATATTATAATATATATATTTATATTATTAATACATGTATAATTTATTAAGTAAATATAATTTTTGTAAGCATAGGTAATAATGATCATTATAATGATTCCAAATTAAAAATAAAACATCTATACATAAAATTCGATAAGAATTATTATAACTGAAATAGTGTATAAAATCTACAATAGTATAATATAGTAATAACAAGAAACACCTCTAATATTTGAATATTATATAATCCACAAAGAGTATTATTAGATTTCAATATTGTTAAAACTTTAGTATTATTTTAATTAGAAAATATTCAGGATATCTATTTCAATGAATGTTCTACTCATAAATTATAATATATTAGCAAAACAAAATTTCATTCCAAGTTTTTTATAATTCCAAGTGTATGGCTATAATAATGTATTAAGATTTATCAATTAAGATTTTTTTTTAAATTATAACTACTTAATTTCGGCAAGAAAATATGAGAAATGAATAAAAAAAGTTAAAATAAAATCTGTTGTAAAATAAAAACATGTTTAAATTCAATATTCACGAATAATGATAGTCATTTGAACCATTCGGTTGGGTAATTCACCAAATTACAATAACCATTTGAATATCGTACTTAAATAAGTTTGTGATTACATATTAAATAAATATATAGAATCTACTCAATAATAAAAGTACATGTTTTGAATACAAAATATGTCATAATAAATATGAGTAATTGGGACTTGATTATATTTTTTGGTATACAGGAACAACTTTTGAAAAATACATAGAAAAATTATAATTTAATAAAAGAAAAAACAAAATCCAATTATACAATTATGCATTTAGCTTTCATATATAAATTATTTATGTTTTAAGTCATTTTTATACAAAAAGGATAAAGCTAAATAAAAATGTAGTCAAAATGAATTTATTCATATGAAAAACAAGGTAAAATTATAACAAATGTTTCTATCTAATTGATATATTCATTTTTTGGAAATAATTGAAATGGTAAAATAAATATAGGAGAAGATTAATAGTACAACTATACGAATAATTAATAAGAATAAGGATTTATTTAATAAAAAAAAAACAAATGTCTTCTATGTTAAAAATAATTTTGAGAGCACTTTTTATACAATTTTTAAGAAAAAATTCTAGTAAAAATCCTAATAAAGGTATTTTTCTTGTTTTTTACAGCATTTAAATCCATTCCCTAATTATAACTATCTATAATAATATCTAATAATATTTTTTTGAATATTTATTAACACAATTACGTGTTGACATGTATAATCTTCTCTATATAAAAAATTATAAACGCCTTTTAATTAAAAAAAATGTATACCTATACCTTAACTGAAAATTGCATAACTGCTTATTACTAAAAAAATATTCAGTACAAATTGTGTTAGTGTAATAAATGTCAGTAATAATACAGGCCTAAAATTCTGTAATTAAGTTTATTCTTATAAAATAGTTTATTTTTTCTTTTACACATATATAATAACAGTTATGCCTATGACGAAATAATATTTTTTAAATATTATAAAATGGTAATTGAAACATGCATAGCTATAAAGGTACCAATTTGAATTTGATATTAGATAGTAGTTCTAGTTTACACAACATCAATTTTAATTTATTAAAGATATTGAATTAATAAAAATGTAAACTAAAGATAATTTTACTGTTATTCATTTTTAATTATGTGAAAAACTTTTGTTTGTATAATACACAAAAATACATTAATATATGCAGAAA